AGCACCTGAGGCCTAAGAAGACTACCCAAGATCCCTAGCTTTCTCTCAGAAATTCTCTGGCTTCAGAGCCCATTATAAGCCGAGTGCAGGCAAGGTTCATGGCTCTTCGGCGCCCTCTGCTGTTCAGCTTCTTTCCTGGCTCCAGGAGAGGCGGACTATGTCAGTACCTGGAGTATCTCTACTTGCACAGAGTGCACAGAGGTACCGGGGAACACACACGAGCTCTAAGGCAGGGCAAGCCATGGAGCAGACTTTTCCCATTTCTGTAATTGTCCAGGGCTGTAGCCCAGATCCTGGAAAAAACACTGAAAATTAAATTCCAAGTAAAGAAGGTGTATCTTTGCATTTGTATGACTTGAATTTGTGTTGGGTTTGTTTGGAGATGGAGTTTCATTCTTGTCACCCAGGCTGGAGTGCAATGGTGTGATCTTGGCTCACTCTGCCTCCTGGGTTCAAGTGATTCTCCTGCCTCAACCTCCTGAGTAGCTGGGATTTCAGGCGTGCCACTAGGCCCAGCTAGTTTTTGTGTTTTTAGTAGAGACGAGGTTTCACCATGTTGGCCATGCTGTTCTCAAACTCCTGACCTTGTGATCCACCTGCCTCAGCTTTCCAAAGTGCTGGGATTACAGGTGTGAGCCACTGCGCCCTGCCGAATTTTTGTTTATTAAGCTGATTTTATGTATAAATATACCTCTTTCATTGAGCACTATGAAAGTGGTCCTCGGCCAAGTATGGTGGCTCAAGCCTGTAATCTCAGTACTTTGGGAGGCCAAGGTAGGCAGATCACTTGAGCCTGGGAGTTTGTGACCAGGTTGGGCAACAAAGAGACCCAATGTTGTGAGGATATTGTGATACCTCATCTCTACCAAAAATTTAAAAATTAGGTGGGCATGGTGGTGTGCACCTGTAATCCTAGCTACTTGGGAGGCTGAGGCAGGAGAATCACTTGAGCCCAGGAGGTGGAGGTGGAGTGAGCTGTGTTCATGCCACTGCCCCCCTGCCTGGGTGACAAGAGTGAGACCCTGTCTCAAAAAGTAAAAATAGAAAATAAGCTGGGCACAGTGGCTCATGCCTGTAATCCCAGCACTTTGGGAGGTTGAAGCAGATGGGTCACTTGAGCCCAGGAGTTTGAGACCAGCCTGGGCAACAAGGCAAAACCCCATCTCTACCAAATATATGTATTAGAATCTAAAGAAGTTCTGAGCCTAATTTAGTCATTCAACAATGAGCTAGGTTTGGGGATGCAGTGATAAAAGAGACAGACACAATCCCTGCCCCTCTGGACTTTGTGGTTGGTCTAGTTAGTCTTAATCATGCCAGTTTCTGAATATATGAGCAAATGCAAATAATTAAACATCTCTGAACCTGTGTTTCATTTGTAAAAATGGGTCACTAATAATCCCCCCTTGACATGGCTGTTCAGGAGAATTAAATGAAAATTTACATGTAGGCCGGGCTGGTGGCTCACACCTGTAATCCCAGCACTTTGGGAGGCCGAGGCAGGCAGATCACCTGAGGTCAGGAGTTTGAGACCAGCCTGATCAACATGGAGAAACCCCATCTCTACTAAAAATACAAAATTAGCCAGGCATAATGGCACATGCCTGTAATTCCAGCTACTCGGAAGGCTAAGGCAGAAGAATTGCTCGAAACTGGGAGGCAGAGGTTGCAGTGAACTGAGATTTTGCCATTGCACCCCAGCCAGGGAACAAGAGTGAAACTCCATCTCAAAAAAAAAGAAAAGAAAACTTACATGTAAAGATACATGATCTATTCTACAGTGTTATACAAATGTTAATTAATACATTTTTTTCCCAAGAAGGTTTTCATGATAATAGCTTAATACATTTTTTCCCAAGAAGCTTTTCATGGTAAGTTACTACTGTCTTCACCCAGTATGTTTTGTTGACCCTCAACTAACAGTAACCAGTAATAAACACCAAGAAATGGAATAAGTCACTCACAGAAAGGCCAAGGAAAAAGCTATGGACGTGCAATACAGATTTCTGCTCCCAGCGGTACCACTAACTGGCTGAGTGGCCTCGTGAATGTCACTTTCCTTTCGGCATTTTAGTTTTCTAATTTGTTTTTAAATAGGTGGGGGCAGGCATGGTGGCTTACACCTGTAATCCCAGCACTTCAGGAGGCCAAGGTGGGCGGATCACCTGAGGTCAGGAGTTCGAAACCAGCCTGGCCAACATGGCCCAAACCCTGTCTATGAAAACTACAAATATTAGTCAGGTGTGGTGGGCGCCTGTTATCCCAACTACTGGGGAGGCTGAGGCAGAAGAATCACTTGAACCCGGGAGGTACAGGTTGCAGTGAGCCAAGATCACACCATTGCACTCCAGCGTGGGCGACAGAGCGAGACACTGTCTCAAAAAAAGAAAAGTCTGGGCCGGGCGCGGTGGCTCACGCCTATAATCCCAGCACTTTGGGAGGCCGAGGCGGGTGGATCACGAGGTCAAGAGATCAAGACCATTCTGGTCAACAAGGTGAAACCCCGTCTCTACTAAAAATACAAAAATTAGCTGGGCATGGTGGTGCACGTCTGTAGTCCCAGCTACTCGGGAGGCTGAGGCAGGAGAATTGCTTGAACCCAGAAGGCGGAAGTTGCAGTGAGCCGAGATCGTGCCATTGCACTCCAGTCTGGGTAACAACAGCGAAACTCTGTCTCAAAAAAAGAAAAAAGAAAAGAAAAGAAAAGTCTGGGCTGTGGGCCCTGCTGGTTTTGCCATCATAGAGATTCCCCTGGGGGTTTGTCCTCTATCCCCACTCTCCCCACAGGGCACGCCCACTTAAGATGCACAGCAGAATTGTTCTTTGGAAGGTTAGGCACAGTGGTTCACACATATAATCCCAGCAGTTTGGGAAGTCGAGGCAGGCAGATCACCTGAGGTCAGGAGTTCAAGACCAGCCTAGCCAACATGATGAAACACCATCTCTACCAAAAATATAAAATTAGCCGGGCATGGTGGCTTATGCCTGTACTCCCAGCTACTTGAGAGGCTGAGGCAGGAGAATCAACTTGAACCCAGGAAGCAGAGATTGCAATGAGCTGAGATTGTGCCACTGCACTCCAACCTGGGCAACAGAGCAAGACTCTAAAAAAAAAAGAAAAAAAATTGTTATTTGCAGAGGTCAACTGGAAAGGAAGGAACATTTTTAGCAACCACCACCTATGCCTTCCTACATACACTCAATGATCTTGGACATCAAAGGTTCAAGACATTGGGAGTTTGGAGGGGGTTCGAAGGGAAGAAACCAAAAGACAGCATGCACCTTCGGGGCCAGATTGCCTGGGGAAGCAGGAAGCCCATCATCGATGGAAAGCGATGGGTAGGCAGGCAGGAGTGTTGTTCTGTGGCTTCCCCAAGAATCCATGCCCTTCCAGATCCAAGGAGGCTGGCTCAGACAGCACTGACTCTGGGTCCCCCAGTTACTATGCCTAGGAAGGAGGCAAGGGGTAAGAAAATGGGAAAGAGCAAGAAAGAGTAGCCACAGTTTTCATGAAGAACAAAAGAAGGGGCTAGGTGCAGTGGTTCACGCCTGTAATGCTAGCACTTTGGGAGGCTGAGGCAGATCACTTGTCAGGAGTTCGAGACCAGCCTGGCCAATATGGTGAGCCCTCATCTCTACTAAAAAATTCAAAAAAAGAGGCTGGGCGCGGTGGCTCAAGCCTGTAATCCCAGCACTTTGGGAGGCCGAGGCGGGCGGATCACAAGGTCAAGAGATTGAGACCATCCTGGTCAACATGGTGAAACCCTGTCTCTACTAAAAATACAAAAAATTAGCTGGGCATGGTGGCACGTGCCTGTAATCCCAGCTACTCAGGAGGCTGAGGCAGGAGAATTGCCTGAACCCAGGAGGCGGAGGTTGCAGTGAACCGAGATTGCGCCATTGCGCTCCAGCCTGGGTAACAAGAGCGAAACTCCGTCTCAAAAAAAAAAAAGAGAAACAGCCATGGTGGCAGCCGCCTGTAGTCCCAGCTACTCAGGAAACTGAGACAGGAGTATCACTGGAACCCAGGAGGCAGAGGTTCCAGTAAGCTGAGATCGTGCCACTGGACTCCAGCCTGGATGGACAAAAAAAGATTCTATCTTTAAAAAAAAAAAATAAAAAGGAGTAGATAGAACTTAGGATGACAAAATGAAGGTGGAAGGGGTGGAAGGAGTGGAGGCAAAACTGTGTTCACTTCTCTTTGCCCACCTCTCTTCCCGCACCCTGCCCTGCCACCATTGCCACTGTATTTGTCAACTTTGTGGTGCAGAAAGAGGCCTGGGTTGCGGGGGGCAGACACCTGGGTGGAAGCTCTGGTTCTGTCACAAACACTGTGGTTCTAGGGAATTCCCTTCATCCTCTGCAAGGATGAGGCTGAGTGACAGTGATGGTGGTGGTTTGGGTGGGCAGTGTAGGGCAGTCAGAGCTCTGGTATGAGTCTCTGATGTGATCTTGGGTGAGTCTCAGTGTCTGCCTCTGTGAAATGGGGATAAGAACATTCACTGTACATGGCTGTGGGGAAGATTCATTCAGGTAAGGCACACGAAAAGCACTTTATAAGCTGCCTCGGTGTGTACAAAGACTGATTATGATACTATCAGGCTGACTTCCTACCCTCACCACCCCCATTCTCAAATCCCAGCTCAGCAGCATGGGGTCAGGGGGTGCAGGCAGCCAGAGCAGACTGCCAGGAGATGCAGCTTGGCCCTTTCGTGTGCCTGTTGCAATTGCCACCAGGAGCTGAGTGGAGCAGAGGGGTGGAGAGAGGGGCACAAGCTCATCTGCAGTTGCTATGGCGCCCCATCCTGGATTTGCCCATCTCTCCTAATGGAGCAAAGGGCAGACCGAGGGAGGGAGAGGGAGAGAGAGCACAACTGGTGCCTTCCTCTCCCCTTCCCTCCATCTCTCTCTGGAGCAGATGTGGGTGGGGGATGGAGGGAGCCTGGATACTGGACAGGAGGGGAGGAAAGAGTGGGGTGCCGGGATTAAGAGGTTTGAGATGGGGGCCACACTGAGAGAGGAGGGGGCAGGGCCCTCATACCTACGTCCAGAAGCCAGCTGCTGACGTTAGAGAGAAGAAAAAAGCAGATGAGCCGGCACCAGGCACCAGCAGGAAAGGGAGAGGGAGCCAGAAAGAGAGAACACCAGGATAGGAGGCGTGGAGGCAGACAGCCCCCAGCCTGCAGCCTCTGCCTAGGCTCTCCTGAGTCTGGACCCCAGGGTCCTGAGAGCTGCCCCCAGGATGGGCGCCAGGGGAGCAGTCTTGCCCCCTCCTGTGTGGGGGCTGATAGGCTGCTATTTCGTCTGTAGCTGGGCTTTGGGGGGTCCACGACCCCTCCGCTCTCTGCCCCCTCTGTCTTCCCAAGTTGAGCCAGGATCTGTGCCCATGCAGGTGCCCCCAGAGGAGGCCGAGGCTGCCCTCGCTTATCTTTACTCTGGAGATGCCCAGCAGTTGTCGCAGGCGAATTGCAGTGAGGGCTATGAAGCGCATGGGGCAGGAGCCATGCCAGGGCTCCCCCCAACCCTACAGGGGGCAGCGGGCACCCTTGCCCAGGCCGCCAATTTTCTCAACATGCTGCTGCAAGCCAACGACATCCGTGAGTCCAGTGTGGAGGAGGATGTGGAGTGGTACCAGGCACTGGTCCGAAGCGTGGCTGAGGGGGACCCAAGAGCATACAGGGCTTTACTGACCTTTAACTCTCCACCAGGGGCCAGCCACCTACAGCTGGCCCTGCAAGCCACCCGGACTGGGGAGGAAACCATCCTTCAGGACTTGTCGAGGAACTGGGTGCAGGAGGAGAGCCCACCTGGGGACCAGGACACCCCAGCCCTGAAGAAGCGGGTGTTGACCAATGACCTAGGGAGCCTCGGCAGCCCCAAGTGGCCACAGGCGGATGGCTATGTGGGGGACACGCAGCAGGTGAGGCTGTCTCCTCCTTTCCTGGAATGCCAGGAGGGACGGCTCCGACCTGGCTGGCTGATCACACTCTCTGCCACCTTCTATGGACTCAAGCCAGATCTCAGCCCAGAGGTCAGGTAAGTGGGTTTGTGCAGGATTAGATGCGTGTGTGGGCATGTAGGGGAAGGAAGCACAGGTCCCTCAGCTGTGCATGGGCCAATTGGTATGAACATGTGATTGCCTGGGGGGCACACAGATATGGATATTTGCACTCAGCTGTGTGTACTGGCAGTTGGCTCTGGGAATCTGTAACTATCTGTTAACACATACAGGTGTGAGTGTACGTGTGTATGAATCAACCCATTTAAGTCATATTTATCTGGGTTTATGTGCTCGAGCACATGCAGAAATGTCTGTGAGCCTGTGCATATACAAATAGGTATACATATGCAGCATACATCTATATCCAGGTATACACCCGTGTGTAGAGATGTGTCAGTAGAGACAGGAAGAGGTCTTGGTCCCCAGGCCTGAGGAGCGAATGCAAGAGGGAGGAGAGGTCTTGGTGTGGATGACAGTGACAATCCATGCACCAGGCTTGTCAGAGGAGAGCCGGGTGGGCACTCCAGGAGTTCAACCTGCTGCTCTCTAGCAATTGAGATCTGTAAGAGGAGACTTCCCAGGAGAAGGAAAACATTATTTTTTTAAGACGGAGTTTTACTCTGTTGCCCAGGCTGGAGTGGAGTGGTACAATCTCGGCTCACTGCAGCCTCCACCTCCTAAATTCAAATGATTCTCCTGCCTCAGTATCCCGAGTAGCTGGGATTACAAGTGCACACCACCAAGCCCAGCTAATTTTTGTATTTTTAGTAAAGACAGGGTTTCACCATGTTGGCCAGGCTGGTCTCAAACTCCTGACCTCAGGTGATCCTCCCACCTCAGCCTCCCAAAGTGCTTGGATTACAGGCATGAACCACCACACCTAGCTGAAGGAAAACTCTTGAGGGGGCTTGGAATCAATGCTCTTTCTGCCAAGGAGCTGGGTGAGTCCCCAGGGCCATCTCCTTACACCAAGCAGGCACCACTGTCCTGCCTGTCTTAATGATGCAGAAGGTTGTGATTCTCCTCCAGTAACTGACCTCTTCCTCAACCCCAGGAAGGAAGGATTGAGGATCCTATTGGGAAGGGAGCAGCAACTGAGCCCGAGATGGCAGGGCATTCAACAATCAACACTCCTTCTCCAGTTCCGTGCCCCCATTCATTGTTTCCAGCAGGGTTCCCCTCCTGCCAGCAGGCAGCCTGGCTTCTTGCCAGCTCAGCCTAGAGCAGAGGCTGGGGAGCTGCTGGTCCAGATCAGGGCTCCTCCATTTCATATCTCCTTTCCTGTGAGCAATTCAGACCTGGCTTGGGCAGAGAGAGGAGCTGGTTAGTAGCTGAGCTGATCTCTGTTTGTATGTGTGTGTACATACATGAAGAAGTGTGAAAATCCCCTTCAGAGGATCATCAGGGCCCTGACTCCTGCCATGGCTTGACATGTGCCCTCCCTCTACTCCTTAATAGAAACCAGGAGATGATAGGATGTCAAAAAGCCGAGGGCTGGAGAGAACAACCTAGTAGGAAAGAGACTGCTGTCCACAGAGACAGTGAGCATGCATGACACTGGAGAAATGGAGTGCATGCATGCTCTTCCCACACACCACAGGTGCTGGGCTAAAGTTTGCAGACTGCATTGTCCCCAAATCCAGTGCCTGTAGGGGCAGAAAAGTGTGATCTCTATCCCTTTCCTCACTCATCGTAAGGGTCACAACACTCTATAACAAAAGACAGATTAACAAGAGAAAAGGCATAACAAAATTTTTTTTTTTTTGAGACAGAGTTTCGCTCTTGTTACCCAGGCTGGAGTGCAATGGCGTGATCACGGCTCACTGCAACCTCCGCCTCCTGGGTTCAGGCAATTCTCCTGCCTCAGCCTCCTGAGTAGCTGGGATTACAGGCACGCGCCACTGTGCCCAGCTAATTTTTTGTATTTTTAGTAGAGACGGGGTTTCACCATGTTGACCAGGATGGGCTCGATCTCTTGACCTCATGATCCGCCCGCCTAGGCCTCCCAAAGTGCTGGGATTACAGGCGTGAGCCACCACGCCCGGCCGTTTGTTTGTTTTTTGAGACAGTCTCACTCTGTCACCCAGGCTGGAGTGCAGTGGCGCAATCTCAGCTTATTGCAACCTCCGCCTCCTGGGTTGAAGCAATTCTCCTGCCTCAGCCTCCTGAGTAGCTGGGATTACAGACACCTGCCACCATACCTGGCTAATTTTTGTATTTTTAGTAGAGACAGGGTTTCTCCATGTGGCCAGGCTGGTCTCGAACTCCTGGCCTCAGGTGATCTACTCGCCTCAGCCTCCCAAAGTGCTAGGACTATGGGCATAATCCACTGCCCCCTGCCTATTTAATCAAAGTTTTACATGACACAGGAGCCTTCAGAAATGAAGATCTAGTGGCAGAGGCTCAGTGGCTTACACATATAATCCCAGCACTTTGGGAGCCCATGTGGGGGGGTGGCTTGAGCCCAGGAGTTCAAGACCAGCCTGAGCAATATAACCAGACCTTGTCTCCACTAAAAATAATTTTTTAAAACTAGCCAGGCATGGTGGCACATGCCTGTGGTCACACGAGGTGGGAGGATCACTTGAGCTACGATCATGCCACTGCACTCCAACCTGGGCAACAGAGCAAGACTGTGTGCCAAAGAGAAAAAAAAGAAAGACAGAAAAGATAGACTCAGGGAAAACTGTTCATTGTTATGCTTAGTTTCAGTGAAGAATGGTCAGCCCTGAAGAAATGAGATTGGACAAAAAAGGCTATGATCTAATGGTGGCAGACCAAGTTCGGAAACTCAGCCAGGCCCTCTCTGTTCAGCTTCCTCTTGGCCGATGTAGCATCCTTCCTCCCAGGAAGAGGGCAGGATCCCTCTGGAATGAGCGTCATATGACCTACTTACTACCTGTCAAGGCAGGCCAGAGAATTTCTTTATGACAAGCCCCTACACAGAAAGGCAGGGGAAGATGAGAGTAATACTTCTTGGTTTTATGTCTTGCTCTGGGGGAGGGAGATTCTAGTTTCTATGACCTGCCTTAGGAAAGGGGAATTCTGGTTTCTAGAACTCACCTCAGTGGGGAGAAGGAGGGGTGAGAGATAAGAGGGCAGGAGAAGGTCAGAGAGACCTTACTTCTGAGCTCTTCTCATCTCCTTTAGTTCAAAGTCCTCAACATGCCAAAGTGCCATAATTTGGAGTATTGTTTTCTGGGCCCCAACAATGCCCAGGGACACATATCCACTTTGGCATCCATCACTGTGCCCCTAACTGCTGATTCAATGCTGTAGGGGGCAGGTGCAGATGGCCATAGATCTCCAGAGTGTGGACATCGATCAGTGCGCAAGTGGCCCAGGCTGGTACTCCAGCACACACCTGTGTGATCTCAACAGCACGCAGGTAAGGATGAGGAGGATGCGGCGGGGGGGGGGGGGGGGGCACTAGGACTCAGTGCTCCAGCATCCCTCCCCAGGGCTCCTCTCTGAGCCTCCGTTACATATCTCCTTTCCTTCCCGGAACCACACTCTCCATGTAACACAGCTCTGGGCTCCTCTTGGCCCACAAAGGGTGCTCCATTGGTCTCTCTACAAAAGGATATTTCATTTTGATGAAATAAATGGAATTGCTGGTTGGGGTGTGGGAGGAATCTAACCAACAAAGGAGCTCAAAGAGGCCTGGGACCAGTGACTGCTATGGGACCTACCTGCTATGCAGGTAGATTCAAAACTCTGGGTGCAGGTGACTCACAGTGACAGAGGGCACTGGCTGGTAATCACGCAGGCCCAGCACTGGGAAACTGGGAGGCCGGTGAACTCATCCGCTCCGTGGTTACAATGACTGCACACTTGTTCCTGGGCTCAACTGAAGCCAGGGCAAGCCCTGTGGCCTGCTAGGGTTGGCGGGCATATTGTTCTGTGTGCACAGGTGGTCCTACTGCTCTTCAGGGCACACATGTCTGCAGCTAGAAGTAGAGGGATAGAAAAGGACTCCCACCATCCAGTTCACTGTTTAACCCAGACACATTCGCTTCTCTGGGTGCATGTTTGTTTAATTGTGCAGACTGTGGCACGAATAGAGTGCAGTTCAGTGGTTCAGGAAAGAGGGGAAGTTGGGCCACAGCTTCACAAGCACCACACACTAACCCTTTAGGTGAGGTCAGGGGCTGGATATAGACTCTTCTAAGGTTAACCCCTTCCTTTGTGCCACTGATGTCTGTACCCACCCATTCCCCACAATAGACCTGACTTCATTTGCTCATATTCCCTGCCTGGCTCTGAGGTCTACTCTGGCCCCTGCTGGGCAAACATCAATGGGAGGTGGTAGAATAAAGGCTGGCCTTGGCATCCCACCAGGCTGGCATTAGCCTGGCATTAAAGCTGGGAAAAACAGCCCAGTGCCAAAGCCAGATGGCCCCTGATGAAAGAAGCTGCTCCTCCATGGGGGTCTTTCCAGTCCATTTGTGTGCCAAGGAGGGAAGCTGGTGGGGACCCTTTGAAGCAGGATGTGGGCACACAAGGTGTGGCTGGGCTCAGAGCTTTCCCTGCTTCCACCTCCCCAGTATCTTGCCCTAGCAAGAGCTGGGCACTGGGAAATAGGTCCTATGAGGCTCCTGTCTCTGCCAGTCTGAACAAAAGGGTGATTTCTCCCCATGCTCTTTGCTTAGGGTCTCTTTGGGAAGAGAGGCAACCGCAGAGGTAGGGTAGGGTACGGTTTCCACAGAGGGAAGACTTCGCAAGGACTAGAGAGAGCTTCCAGAGGGATTCCCCAGTGTGGACCCAAGTCCCATGGATAGGCAGGTAGATGGACCCTCCATCTCTCCCAGGAGGGAATATTCTTCCAGAGAAAGCCCCACATAAACACATATTGTGTTTGTCGTCCCCACAGTGTGTCCCCCTGGAGAGTCAGGGCTTTGTTCTTGGCCGCTACCTCTGCCGCTGCAGACCTGGATTCTACGGGGCAAGCCCCTCTGGGGGTATGTAAGTATGGTTAGGGCTGGGCATGTGTTTTACAGGAGAGGCTGGACAGGAGGGTACATCTCTGGAAAAAAGGCAGGTGGGGGTGAGATCCTGGGAGGGAATTTGTGGGGCAAGAGCAGAAGGTTGAGAGAAGCAGGAGAGGCAAGCAGGGTGCAGTGTGGGGGTGTCTGCGCCTTCTGAATATGAGCCCATAACATGCAGATGTGATGCAAGTTGACCTACCAAGGAGCCCTAGCTTGGCGTCACCTCTTTCTGGTACCCTGCCCTCCCAAGGAAGCACCCATTCCCACTTGTCCCTGGAGCCCTAGATCACAGAAGAGCAGGGAGAGGGCTGTGGTAACTATCAGGAGAACAGGCTGGGATGTCAGGATGCTCTAGCTGGGCCTGTCTCCCTGCACCCATCTTGTTTTTATAGGGTTAGAGGAGAGTGCCTTCCAGAGTACCGGGCAATTCGGGTCCCCCGAAGGCAGATCTGGGAGGCTGCTGCGGTGCCTGCCATGTCCTGAGGGCTGCAGCAGCTGCATGGATGCCACACCGTGCCTGGTGGAAGAGGCCGTGGCGCTGCGGGCCACTGTGTTGGCCTGCCAGGCCTGCTGCATGCTGGCCATCTTCCTGAGCATGCTGGTCTCCTACCGCTGCCGCCGAAACAAGGCAAGGAAGGCCCCACACCTCATGCACACGTGTCCAACCCACCTCAACTGGAGACCTGAGACTACCTAAGACCAGAATTTAGAAGAAATGGGTTCTAATCTTGATTCTAAATCTAACTCACTATGCAGCATTATGCAAGTGATTTCTCCACCTTGGACTTGCTTCCTCATCTGTAAAATAAGGGCATTGAACTCGATTCATAAGCGCTAGTTGAATATCTACTCTAAGCAAAACACTGCCTAGGCTCAAGAGGAAGTGATCTGGGCCTGCACAGAGCTCCCAGTTTAATGGAGAAAGCAGACATGTAAATAAAATGGCAGTACAGTGAGACGGGCAAAGATGGAGGTGTCTGTCCATTGCTGTGGGAGCTCACAGAAAGTCATCCTGCCTGAGATGGCATGGGAAAGACATTCTGGATATGACATGAGCCAGGCTTGAAGGTTAACTGGACACTTACTGGGCCAAGAAGGGGTACCTGATTCTAGGCAAGGGAGCAGCCTGACCCAATGCTTGAGGAACGCATGAGATCCCTTCCAGCTCCAGCAGCCTCTGATTTGAGCCGAGGTCTGCAGCAAGGCCCTGAGCGGGAAGGGGAGAACACAGTGACGTGTGTGGGAATGATGTGAAACCTCGGCCTTAGCCAGGTTTAGTGCCAGTGGAGCTGAGCCTGTGGTGACAGTGGGGGTGTGACTGTGGTCAGAGAGGGCAGAGCCAGTGTTACAGGGTGAAGCCTTAGCTCAGGGCCTGAGAGCCTCCGGCACTATCATCCAAGATCTGCTCACATGCCTCTCTCCTTGCTTCACAGAGGATCTGGGCATCTGGAGTGGTCCTGCTGGAAACCGTCCTTTTTGGATTCCTGCTGCTTTACTTTCCTGTGAGTCTGTGGTCAGAGGCTGGCCCTACCTTCCAGCATCCCCTATAGCCCCAGAACCCTTCCTCTTCTCTGCCCTCTTGAGGGGATTCAGAGACTTCAGATTTCCCCTACTCATACCCACAAATGGCAAGCTGGTCTATGAGTTCCGGAGCCCCAGGCTTAAAAGAGCTCTGTGACTTGCAGGGTGACTTAGGGCAAGTTACCTAACCTCTTTGACACTTCAGCTGCTCCTCTGCAGAATGAAGGTGGTGATGCCTCTATTTCAGGGTTGTTGGGAGGATCCACAATGAGCTTAGCATGGGCCTTGCCCACAGCAGAAGCACCGTGGAGAGCAGAGACTTTTGGCCCTTCCCACCAGGTCTTCATCCTATACTTCAAGCCCAGTGTATTCCGCTGCATTGCTCTTCGCTGGGTGCGGCTGCTGGGTTTTGCAATTGTCTACGGCACCATCATACTCAAGCTTTACAGGTATGGCCTGAGGCAGACTTTGCTCTCATGCTGCTCATCCCAGACCACCCCAGCTCACTCATGGAATGCTGTTTTTCAAAGCCAGACCCTTGCCAGCCCCACTCCCCTGTTCCCCCAAGGACAACCCCCATCACCATAGCCTTCTCCTCCATGTAACTTTTGGGTGGGTGGCAAGAGGCAGCAAACCATGAAAAGGATGGAAGGACAGGTACCTGTGTGGAGGGGAGGGCAGCAATGGACAGAGGCCAGGGCACTGGCTCCCTCTCCGTAGTCCTCCCAGGTCCCTGCCATCTACCCTGTGTATTCATTTTTTTTTTCTTTTTTGAGGCAGAGTCTAGCTCTGTCACCCAGGCTGGAGTGTAGTGGTGCGATCTCTGCTCACTGCAACCTCTGCCTCCCCGATTCAAGGATTCTCCTGCGTTCAAGGATTCTCCCCCCTCAGCCTCCTGAGTAGCTGGGATTATAGGCGCGCCACCACACCCAGCTAATTTTTGTATTTTTAGTAGAGACGGGGTTTGACTGTGTTGGCCAGGTTGGTCTCAAACTCCTGACCTCGTGATCTGCTCGCCTCGGCCTCCCAAAGTGCTGGGATTACAAGCGTGAGCCACCGCACAAGGCCAACCCTATGCATCCTAACCCTCGCAGAGTGCTGCAGCTGTTTCTGTCTCGAGCGGCCCAGCGGAGCACCCTTCTGAGCAGCAGGCGGCTGCTGTGGCGCCTGGGGCTACTCCTGCTACCTGTGCTGGGCTTCCTGGTTGTGTGGACCGTGGGCGCCCTGGAGCGAGGCATCCAGCACGCACCTCTGGTGATCCGAGGCCACACTCCCACTGGCCGCCATTTCTACCTATGTCACCATGACCGCTGGGACTACATCATGGTTGTGGGTGAGCTTCTTCTGCTGAGCCCGGCCTCATGCCCATCCCTGACTCTCATCCTCCCTGGGTCCTCTTGTTCTGGTTCTCCTGCCTTGTCCCTAGACCCCCGGACCAGGCTACCCCTAGCACATCCTTCAGAGAAAGGGGTGGCGCGGTGCTGAGGCGGCGCCGGCTCTCTCCCTCCTGCCTCCTTACAGCTGAGCTGCTGCTGCTGTGCTGGGGCAGCTTCCTGTGCTACGCCACGCGGGCTGTGCTCTCCGCCTTCTATGAGCCACGCTACATGGGCATCGCCCTGCACAACGAGCTGCTGCTTTCCACTGCCTTCCACACGGCCAGGTGAGGATCGACCCACCTACCAACCACAGCCCCTTCCATTCTGATATTTTGAGATTGAGTCTTTCTCTGTAGCCCAGGATGGAGTACTGTGAGGCCGTCTTGGCTCACTGCAACCTCTGCCTCACAGTTTCAAGCGATTCTCTTGCCTCAGCCTCCCCAGTAGTTGGGACCACAGGCACCTGCCACCACGCCCGGCTAATTTTTGTATTTTTAGTAGAGACGGGGTTTCACCACATTGGTCAGGCTGGTCTCAAAGTCCTGACCTTGTGATCTGCCTGCCTTGGCCTCCGAAAGTACTGGGATTACAGGCGTGAGCCACCATGCCTGGCCCCCTTACACTCTTAACACCACTCCTCACCTCTCCCATCCCACGCCATCCTGGTGACACTGCTATGCTTCCTGGTGACACTGCTATGCCTCAGCACGGTGAGGAAGGCCCCCACTTCTAGCTCTCTCCCTACCCCCCAGATGTCCCTACTATACTGTACTCCAGGCCTGGCACAGGTAAAGAGGCCCCTGACACACAAGAGGAGGACTAGTACCTTCCTCCTAACTCTTTACCCCTCCCAAAGCACCTCTCCAGCACCTAACCCCTTCCCACACTTGCTCAGTCCTCCCTGCCTTCTGCCCTCACTCCTCAGCCATAAGAGCAGCAGGCTGCTGTGTGTCGGTAAGGACCAGGCCCTGTGGTGGAGGCAGAGTTAACCCACAGAGTGGGCCTAAGAGTGTGAAGCACACGTCTGTGCTATACACAGCCAAAGAAAGTGAGCTGGAATAGTCTGGGAAGGCTCCTTGGAGGTGGGGATTAACGGGATTGAGGTGGGACATAAATCCTGGAGAAGACAGGATAGGGCAGAAAGCCTCCTTGTCCTAAGGGGATCAGGGCTGGGGCTGGGGTGAAACACTAGTGAGAAGGTGAAGCGGAAGTGGCCCCTCCCGCCTGCAGTAATGACCCACACCCCCATCCCGCCCCCAGGTTTGTGCTGGTTCCCTCCCTGCACCCGGACTGGACCCTCCTCCTCTTCTTCTTCCACACCCATAGCACAGTCACGGCCACACTGGCTCTGATCTTCATCCCTAAGGTGAGGCCTTCCCCTCCTGCCTGTGAGGCAGACCCCAGCCCCTCCTTCAGGGGTGCTGTGGAGCTGTTGTCCCGCAGCGCCCTCTGCAGGCCAGGGTGAGGACAACAGAAGGTGCTGGGTGAGTGAGTAGAGTGCCAGGGGCCCTAAGCTAGGAGCCCACTTGAGGGGGATGCTCTCTGCTTCCAGTTCCTGGGCAAGGGAAAGAAGAACCAGAGCTGGAGAGGATCTCTCTTGCAGCTGGAAGGTTGGCACACTCTGATAATCTACTCAGAAGCAGGTACACAGGGAGAGGTGGGGGAGCTGAAGGACCAGACTAGGAATTGCAGGGTGGGGGGCTTGAAACCACCCTGCTCTCTGAGCTGGAGTCAGGGAGGATGACGGGAGTAAAACTCTAAAGACCCCCAGAATTCCAAATCAGAGAAGGGATGAAGCATCACCAAGTAAAGATGCATTCCCCAGGGCAGGTGAGAGTAGGAGTGGACAGAGAACCAGGGTGAGTCTTATTCCCACTCACATGTGCCCCTGCCAGTTCTGGAAGCTGGGGGCTCCTCCCCAGGAGGAGATGGTGGATGAGGTGTGTGAGGATGAGCTGGACCTGCAGCACTCGGGCTCCTACCTTGGCAGTAGCATCGCCTCAGCCTGGAGTGAGCACAGCCTGGACCCTGGAGACATTCGGGTATGTGTCACCCTCCCTGCCTCCTTTTAATGCTAGCTTTTAGGAATGGAGCGGAGGGAGAACTGGGCCCTGCCACCTGGGCTGTGTGCCACTGTGAGTCCTCTTCCCTCCAAGACCTGCTCTCTCCCTTCTCCACCACTTCCCAAAACTGATTCCCCTGACTCTATTCAAAGGAGGCCACACACACCCAAGTGGGAAAACCCCAAAGCCACAGAACCAGATGCCAGAAGCCCAGGCCATGTGGCAAGCTAGAGGCAGGGCCAAGAGTGGAGACCTACTCCCTCATGTCTTCCACTCTCACTCAGCAGGAGCATCAGGTGGGGGGCAGACTAAGAAACCCCTCAGCTGGCCAGGCATGGTGGCCAAGGCGGATCACTTGAGGCCCAGAGTTTAAGACCAGCCTGGCCAACATGACAAAAATCCCATCTCTAGTAAAAATACAACAATTAGCTGGACGTGATGGTGCATGTCTGTGGTCCCAGCTACTCAGAAGGCTGAGGTGGGAGTAGGATCACTGGAGCCTGGTAAATCAAGGCTGCAGTAAGCTGAGATCATGCCACTGCACTCCCGCCTGGGTGACAGAACACAACTCTGTCTCAAAAAAAACAAAAAAAACAAAACACACAAAAACCTTAGCCCCCAGCAAAGCAGGATGGTTGGGACCCTAGGGCCATCTGTGGGGTTGGGTAGATCAGGCAGTGAGTGGCCACCAGGATCCCCTCTCCCTGGACCTGGCAGGTCTTAGAGAGAGGAAGTTCTTCCTGGGTCTACACTGGAAGAGAATGTTTATTTTCATTTCTGTGCTCAAAAATATCATTATAGTCACCAGAACCCTAATAAGGCTCAGTGGGTAACATACAAGGAGAGCTGAGTCTAAGCCCATTGTTTTATACAATCCACGGTCTAGGAACCATCCTGGGAAGCCATTCTCTCCATCCCTCCACCTCTACTAGGGCTCCCTCCACACCTGACTTGTCTGCAGGCTCACAAGGCAGAGTCCTTACATCTCCCGAGTCCTTCCTTATACCAACTGCCCCTGCCCATTTCCCCCTTGTGTCCTCACCCTCTGAGCTCTTCCTGCCCTGCCTCCTGAGACCCCAATCCAGCTGAAGGGCAGGAAGTATGGAGGGGCAACTCCACCCCTAACTCTCTACTTTTTGGAACACAAGCCAGTCTGCAGCCCCTATCTGGCTTTGGGGAGAAACTCAGGTCATAAGACTTTGAAAGCCCCATTCCATCACTTACACCTGAACACCACATTTCATACCCACTAGTCTCAATCTCATATAATGCTCTTAAGGAAGTTGACACTGGTCACCCAGGTAACACTGCTTTACAGGAAATGCAGAGGCTCAGAGGGGTCATGAAAACAGCCGCCAGGCACACAGCACATTGAGGGTCCCCCAAGCTACTGACTTTCCACCTGACCACAATGCCCCAGAGAAGGTAGTACACCTGAGTCCTCTGAGCTGACTGCATCTGGCTGGGACTCAGGTTGGCAACTGATCTCACAGGTGAACAAAGAGGTGAATTCTGAGAGTTTTAGAAGCAGGGAAGAGATACAGCTTGATGGAAAGAGATCCCCCAGGGAAAATGGTTTACGAAAGGGTGGAGGGACAGCCAGCCAGGGAATGGAGGGAGCTCACCTACAGCCCTGCTTTCCTTCCTGCCACCTCACAGAATGAGCTAAAGAAGCTCTATGCCCAGCTGGAGGTCCACAAGACCAAGGAAATGGCTGCGAACAACCCCCACCTGCCCAAGAAGCGGGGCAGTTCACGCCAGGGGCTGGGCCGCTCCTTCATCAGGTACCTGGCAGAATTCCCCGAGACCCTGGCCAGGCAGCACTCCCGAGACTCAGGCTCCCCGGGCCGCGGCAGCCTGCCTGGCTCCTCCCGCCACCGGCTCCTCAGCTCCAGCCTCCATGAACCCGAGGGGACACGGGCTCGCAAGTCCCGCAGCACCTATGACCAGCGCAGGGAGCAGGACCTGCCTCTTTTTGACTCACTGCTGAGGAGGAAGCTGGCCAAGAAGGCCTCTCGAATAGAGAGCCAGGAGTCTGTGGATGGGCCCCCTGCCCTGGGCTTCAGGTCGGCCAGCGCCCACAACCTGACAGTGGGAGAGAGGCTCCCCAGAGCCCGGCCTGCCCCTCTGCAGAAGTCGCTCAGTGTGGCTGGCTCCAGGGAAAAGGCCTTGCTCATGGCCAGCCAGGCCTACCTGGAGGAGACCTACCGGCAAGCAAAGGAGCGGGAGGAGCGGAAGAAGGCCGAGGCAGCCATGGCCAGCCTGGTGCGGAGGCCATCGGCCCGGAGGCTGGAGCAGCCTCGAGGGCCCCCCCTGTCAGCTCCACCTTCCCCTGCCAAGAGCAGCAGCATGGACAGCTCTCACATCTCTGGAAGGCTTCACCAGGAGGCTGGGAGCAGGCTGCCTCACCCACCCATCCGGCACCAGGTCTCCACCCCCATCTTGGCCCTGTCTGGGGCCTGCCTGGGAGAGCCAAGGATGCTCTCTCCCACCTCCACCTTGGCTCCAACTCTGCTGACAGCTTTAGCTCCAACCCCAGCCCCTGCCCTGGCACCAGTCCCAGTAGCCCCCCAAAGCCCCAACTTACTCACCTACATCTGCCCCTGGGAGAACGCAGAACTGCCGGTCAAGAAAGAAAATGTGGCCCAGGAAGGCCCCTCAGGGCCAGAGCGAAGCCACCCTTCTCCTGCCCCCGCTCGAGCTAGGCTCTGGAGGGCTCTCTCTGCTGCAGTAGAGAAAAGCAGGGCTGGGGAGAATGAGATGGACACTGGAGACGCGCACCTCCAGAGGGAAGCTAATGACATGGAGCGGTCCAAGATCTTCCTGAAATCCCACAGCCTCAAGGCCCCTGTTCAGCAGGGTTCCATGCACAGCCTGGGGCTGGCGATTAGAGCTCTGACCCGCTCTCGGAGCACCTACAGAGAGAAGGGGAGTGTGGAGGAGAGTCCTGAGGGGCAGAATGGCAGGGCTGTGGGAGAGAGTGTGGGGGCAGCCTCCCGATCGCCCAGGCTAGGCCGGCCCAAGGCGGTGAGTAAGCAGGCCGCTCTTGCCCCCTGCGATGACGAGGAGTCCCTTCAGAACCAACAGAATGCTCACACCAGCAGGATGCTCCAAGTCTGTCAACGGGAGGGCAGCAGGGAACAAGAGGACAGAGGCAGGAAGACGCTCCAGGGTCTAGGGGAGCAGAAAGCTGAGATAGCAGGTAAAACAGGGCTTGCCACGCTCCAGCCCCTGGGTAGTGCTGACCACAGGGTGGCAGAGGTATGCCCCTGGGAGATCACTGAATTAGAAACGCATCAGCCGGACAGTGGTAGCAAGGCCGAAATCTGCCCCTGGGAGATGAGTGAAGCAGCCCCTGAGTTGAAGGCACTAAGACAAGACCCAGGTGACTCCCAAGAAAAGAGGGTGGGGGCCCCGGGAAAATCGGAGCCCACCGATGTGGCTGCCATGATGAGGAAAAGATCAGAGAGGCTGGTGAGGGAGCAGGAAGCTGTGTGTCCCTGGGAGAGTGCCGATCATGGAGGTCTTTTCCCTGGGTTAGCTCCTCAGGACCCTGGCAGAATCAGAGACAGATCTGAGGCAGAGGGCAGTGTGGAGGCCAGGAATGTGAAGAAGCCTGCGGGGCAAGCTGCTGGCCCAGTCACTCATACACCTGACATCGCCAGGGCGGAGCTGTGTCCCTGGGAGGCAAGTGAAAGAGGCGAGGGTGGGAAACCAGCCCAAGAGGTGGTAAAGGATCTCTCTCAAGAAAAGCAGAAAACCAGGAAAGAAACCTTTTGGAGAGAACAGAAACTGGGTGGAGACTTGGAGTCTCTCTGTCCGTGGGAAAGTACAGATTTCCGGGGCCCCTCAGCAGTCTCAATTAAGACCCCAGGAAGCTCAGAGTGTTCAGGGAGTCTGGGTAGCGGCATTGCTGAAGTGTGTCCCTGGGAGGCAGGAGATGCTCCTGCTGTCGGGAAAGGAGAGATCTGTCCCTGGGAGCTGGTTGATAAGGTGATGGGGCAGGAAACACTGAATCTGGGAACAGGTGGAGAATCTCTCCAAGAAAAGGAAAAGGCCTCCAGAAAAGGAAGCTTTGGAGATATGGGGGAACAAACTGTGAAAGCAGGGCAGAAATTAAGTCAACAGCAGGAGTCGGTGTGTCCCTGGGAGAGGACGGTCCCTGGGCACTCCAGCCCATGTCTAGACAATTCCTCATCCAAAGCTGGTGGCCACTTCCTATGCAGTGGAGGACGCAGAGCAACGCAGACATGTCCACAGGAAGATCTCAGGCCGGAGGCACAGGAAGCAACACCTGCCAAGGCCGAAATCTGTCCCTGGGAGGTAAATGAAAGAACAATAGGGGAATGGACATCAGCACAGGCACCAAGAGGAGGAGAATCTCAAAAGGACAAGGAGAAAATGCCTGGAAAATCAGAAATACAAGATGTCACAGCTTGGGAAAAGCCTGCAGGGCAGATCCAAAAGCAGGAAGCAGTCTGTCCCTGGGAGAGTATGGACCTTGGCAGCTTCTCACCACAACCACGTCCTCAAGAAACAGAGAGACCCCAAACTCATCTCCAGATGTCAGGCAGCATGGGAAGCAACGCTGCCAACATTTGCTCTTTGGATGTGAAGGAAATCCTGACTGCTGGGAAGGCAGAAATCTGTCCCTGGGAGGTGGGTGCTGGAGCAGGGGAGGAAAGCGCTGTGGGAGTCAAGGACATTAGGAAATCCCCAAATGATATAGTAAAGGCTTCTGCAGTTCTTCCACCCAGGGAGACAGCTGTTACTGCTCCAGAGAAGCCACAGAAGCCAACCCCAGAGTGGGAGGTGGCTTGTCCCTGGGGCAGTGTGGGTCCAGGGGCCTCCTCTCAGCATTCAGATACTCTGGATGCTGATGGACCAAAATCTGAGTTCCAGGAACTGGACCATGCAGGGTGCAGGCCTGCTAAGGCGTGTCCCTGGGAAGTGCAGGAAGCTGCTATCAGTGAAAAAGCCGAGATCTGTCCCTGGGAGGTGAATGAAGGAACTATTGGGAAAGGATTAGACAAAGAGACAGGGAGTGAATCAGCAGAGCAGAGGGAGAAAGCTCTAGAAAAGGGGGAACTCACTTCCCTGGGAGAAGATCTATCAAAAGGGATGACAAAACTGTGTCAAGAACAGGAAGCTATTTGTCTTTGGGAGAACCAGGACTTGAGGGAATCCCCTGCTTGGGCCCCCAAGATCTCAGACTTGCCCACCAGCATGAGTAGTGAAGTGGCAGAGGGACATTCCTTGGAAGCAACAGAGAAGGGAGACCTGAGACAAGACGCAAAGACAGGTTCCTTCTCAGAACATGTAACCCAAGAAAAAGCTCCAGCTTCAAATGCAGAAGAATCCACTCCTGAAGATGAGGAAAAAACAAGCAATGAGCTACAATCTGTCTGTCCATGGAAGAGCAGTGCGCCAGCAATTTCCTTCTCCTACCCAGACAGACAGTGCCCTGACCAACCTAAAGCCAGCTCCCAGAAACTGGTCAGCACGGGGGGCAGAGCCATTGATGTGTGCCCATGGGATGTTCCTGATGCAAGCATGTATACACTTGACAGCAGTGCCAAGGTCAAGACCTGTCCCTGGGAAGTGACTGACAGAATCCCTGTCAAAGAGGTGTCAAGACAGGATGGAAAAGGGGACTCTCAAGAAGAGAAAGACAGAGACCCAGAAAATTCAGAACCCAAAGGTGTGCCAGTTCAGAAAAAGTCAGAGATGGAGGAGGAGGCTGTGTGTCCCTGGGAGAGTCAAGATGGCAGGGGACTGCCCCTACAGCCAGCCCCAGATGCTTCTGACAGCAGCAGTTCTGAGGCAACAGGCAGTGTGGAGACCAGCGTGGCGGAAGTGTGTCTGTGGGAAGTGGAAGAGGCTCCCTCCGCCAAGGAAGCAGAGATCTGCCCTTGGGAGGCAGGTGGAGGAGCAGCAGAGGAAGGGGGACTAGAACAGGAGGTGGAACAAGAATCACAAGGGCAAGGAGAGATGTTCCTTTAGAAGGTAGGTCCTGGAGAGACTGAAGAACACTTCTCAAAAGCAGCAGCAGAGCCCAGAGAACAGGATGCAGTCTGCCCTGGGGAAGGCACAGGCTCAGGGGGGCTCTTGCTCCAGTCAGGTGCTCTGGACCCCGACCAACTTAAAGTCAGCCCCCAGGGAGCAGGCAGCGTGGGGAGCAGGATGGCAGAGCTGTGCCAATGGGAAATCACAGATCCAGAAGGAAATAAAATAAAGGGTACCATGGCAGACATCTGTCCTGGGGAGGAAACTGGAGTCCCATCTAAGGAATCTGGCCTCCTGGCTTTAACAGCAACTCGGACAGAATTTTTCCCCACAGCTCCTGAAAAACCACTATGCCTTTTAGTCCATGGGCCTCTGGACCACTTCCTTCCAGAAAGCAAAATCCTTTGCCCCAGGGTAAGCAGGCCAGCCAGTACTACCACTCTAGAAGGTGTCAGAGAACTACAAGGATCTTCAGGGCTTGAATCAAGGACCAGCTTAGCCCCAGAGCCAAGTCTCCAGGAAGGCGAGGCTCAGTCTTCCTCCTTAACTGAAGACCCAGGCCAAATAGCTTTGGAAGCTCAGCATGAAGAATTTTCCCCTCCAATGGCCTACCCTTGGGACTGGGAGTAACAGCCTTCTTAGGTGAGGTCAAACACAGAGCTAGCTTTCAGGAGCCAAGGCCCTTCCCAAGCCTAAGAGTTCCCAAAGAGCTGAATCAAAGACAGCTTGGTCACTTCCCCTCCTTGAGAAGACCAGAAGCAACTCATCCCAAAGACGAAGTGTATGAAAAGGGTATAGTTTGGACCCCAATGGGAAGGCCCACCCTGTCTTTACTTCTAATTTTTCTTCCTGTTGGAGGAAACAAAGACTGTACATTGTTTCTAAGGACTCCTCCCATCCATCTACGATACTCACAGCACAAACCACCTGAGTCTGGACACTTACCGCAAAGCCAGTGTTAGGGATGAAAGGAAGTCAGCTGTGGCCAGCCTACCTTCTCTCACGGGGAGACCCTGAATTCTCTGAAGTCTACGATGGAGCATTTTTTTAAGAAGAAACTAAACAATACAAAGTGTTGACAACATAGGGACGGTGGACCATAGAAGGCTATAAAGTCCACCATAGGAAGCTGAGGAGCCATTTAATTGAAGATAAATTGGAGGAAAAGCTAAAATGACTCAAAATAGGCACCTGAAATGCCTTAAGGACCTTGTCATTTTGATTTTGAATCTCCTGTTTCTGCTTTATTGCTTCTCATACCTGCCCTGTGTGGCTGCTGAAGCAGAAACAATCAGGCACACTGACATCCATTTCAGCACCTGGCATCCAAAGCCGCATCAGAGACAGAGAACACAGAAGAAAGCAATTTCCCCAGGTGCCCCCACAGCCAAGGGAGTTCTTCCTTCCAGACATCCTTGTGCGCCTCCTGCTAGTTTTTTAGGGGGTCTCCCCATCTTCCTGCCCCAGCTCTTACCAGTCTCCAGAGCTCCTCTCACTGGCTTATTTGCCTCCCCCTAGCTTTTCAGCACTGCCATCAACAGGACCCTCTCTTTTGTCAATGCACTTGGAGTCAAGGGGAATCTCTGGTTCTGATGCAAGGACCCCTCCCCGCCCAAATCACTTGCTCAGTAACAAGAGGACACATCGATCTCCTTTCAGAGGAGCTCAAGAAAGGCAGTCCTGTATACAGCCAGAACTCCACTTCTGCCCTCTGAAAGAGGAGTGCAGTGGGGCAGGTTAGAAGCCTGAGGGCCAGGAAAAGGGCACTGTGTGAAGACAAAGCCTTCTTTCTTAGGGAGCTCTCTCTTGGCTCGGCTTCCTTCTCTCAACAGTTCAGGCTACCCTTGCTTAAGCAGTACTAGATTACAAAGTGCTGGGATTAGATGATAATACCAGAGGGAAATGAGGAAGGCGAAAACATACAAAAAAGTCCCAAGATTGGCAAAGGGAGGTGGGGGAGGGGGAAAGTGGCAGCTAGAGATGGCAGAGCTGGACAGGGGCACTAAAGATGGCAGTAAGTCACACCTTCTAACAGTACAGACATCGATGTCATTCATGGGGAGAAAAAGACGAAACAGGGAGACCAAATATGCAAAGGGAAAAAAAGAGCTGCAACATCTAGTCTGCATGTAAATATGCTGGGCGGTTATGGGACTTCACAGAGAAAGTAGCAAAGTACTACATTTCCAAAAGGGAACAGAGGAATGGAGTAACCCACTCTCCATTGGGGACCAGATGTCCTCAGTCCCTTACCTAGGGCCCTTATCTTGGGCTTTTAGAGCAGTAACTGAAGTGTGGTGTTGTCCTGGGCTCTGACTAGTTAGCCTTACAGCTTCTGAGCTACTGTGGATTTTGCTGTGCACCCCAAAACAATCCCATTGAGTCTGGTCTAGCTGGAAACAGCAAAGTTGCTCCCAAACCCACTCTTGTGAAATAAACCATGCGGTGGGTGGTGGGGGGGGGGGGGGCGGAAATAAAGAACACTTTTTCTTGAAACTGCAGTTGGCTCTAGCTTATTCATAATGATGATTATCTTTTTTTTTTTAACATTTCTAAACAGTAACAGAAGACAGATAAGGAAAGAACAATGCCTGTGCCAAAGCGGAAGGTAGTTAACACTGCAGTCTTAGGACTTTGGGTTATCCGGCTAACACTCTGCCAATGCCCAGGTCAGTGCTGACACTGTAGATGGTCTGTGCCTGGTCCTTCTAGCCAGCCCCTCACATCTGGGGCCCATTTGCTCAGCTGGATTTAATCCCAAGGGAAAATGGAAATGGCACTCATCCTCTGGCTCTCTGGTGGCAGCTACTGCTTAGCTGCTATTTAGGATTATCTAGAGAACCCTGAGTTATCCAGAGGAGTGGGATGAAACAGCTTATTTGAAGCACTGTTTTTACATATTCGAAGGAATCAATGTTTCGTTTGCCTACTGAGTGTGTTTTTTTGCTGTTTGTTTCTTTGCTTCCCTACCCTGTGAGGATTATTTCCCTTCCTCCATACTCCCTGGATGTGGGTCCTGCTCAAAGCACGTCCCTTCTCATTTTGCCTTAAGCCAGGGCTCAGGCAAATAGGATGTGGCCAAACCTTGTTTGGGCAGTAATGCTGCAAACTAATACACACTTTAAGACAAAAGGGTTGGAACTAAGTAGCACGGGAGTGGTTGATGAGAGACCAGGGCTGTCTCTTCCCTAAGCATATATATCTTTATTTCCACAGTTAACACTTAACAGGCCAGGAGTGATGGCTTGTGCCTGTAATCCCAGCACTTTGGGAGGCCGAGGCAGGTGGATCACCTGAGGTCAGGAGTTCATGACCAGCCTGGCCAACATGGTGAAACCCTGTCTCTACTCAAAATTAGCCAGTGTGGTGGTGCATGCCTGTAATCCCAGCTACTGGGGAGGCTGAGGTAGGAAAATAGAACCTCTTGAACCTGGGAGGCGGAGGCTGCAGTGAGCAGAAATCGCAGCATTGCACTCCATCCTGGGGAACAACAGTGAAACTCCATCTCAAAAACAAACAAACAAAAAACCACTTACCAGTTGCTGTAAAAACATCAATCTTCCCTAGTGAAGCCTGGTTTGCTACTTTGCTGATAGCAGCTTTATAGATACTAGAGAGTTAGGTTATTTATCCTTGACCAGATTCCAGGTTCTTTGGACTCTACTCTCAGGACAAGGTCAATACAGAATAATCTTTACTTCAAGTGACAGACTGCTTCAAAGAAAATTCTAAGCTAGAGAAAGAGAAGTATGGCTGGGTGCAGTGGCTCACGCCTGTAATCCCAGCACTTTGGGAGGCCAAGGTGAGCAGATCACCTAAGGTCAGAAGTTTGAGGCCAGCCAGGCCAACACATAGTGAAACCCCATCTCTGCTAAAAAAAAAAAAAAAAAATACAAAAATTAGCCAGGCATGGTGATGTATGCCTGTAGTCCCAGCTAACTGGGAAGCTGAGGCAAGATAATAGCTTGAACCTGGGAGGCAAAGGTTGCAGTGAGCTGAGATTGTGCCACTGTACTCCAGCCTGGGCAACAGAGGGAGACTCTGTCTCTAAAAAACAAAGTTCTTTCTCTTGTCACATTCAGACGACCCAGGACACACGGCCATGTGAGGTCCCACACCCTTCTAACAGCCCATCTGGAGCTAAGAAACAAGGAGGGGCTGGTCTATTTTCCTCTACACAGGTTCATACTCTTGTACATTCACCTTCGATACTGGGTGGGAAAGAACAGTCCCCATCTCCAAGTGGTGTTAGAACTATCAGGGAACCAAGTACTGCAGATGAATTTTCCAAATGTAACAATCTGTCCATGGCCCCTGCCTCCCCAACGCTTCCTGATACAGTCAATAATTAAGAACACAATCAAAGGCTGAGGGATACATTATTTTTTTTTATTTTTCCATAAAACACAAATGCTGATTCATCAGTGAGTCAGTGTATGAAAAAGGCCCTCTTAAATATCTTATAAACACTAATTATTCCTTCTAAGTCTGGATTTCCTTAAAATCCCATCACTCACAAGTAGGCTCATCTTCTACTTCTGCCATTTGAAGGCTGGCCTACTCCCAGCCTGAACCAGGGAAAATGTACAGAACTCACCAAAATTTTTCCAACACTCTGACAGTGTTTCATTTCAAACTCTGATCCCTGCTCTGTGATTACAAAGAGGATGCTGCTGGTTCTCTCAAAGTCCCTGCTGTGGGAAAAACTGGGATCCAATGTACTCTAAAACATGCTGTCTTTCATCTGGACTCAGAAGCTAGACATACAATTTAAACAGGTATAACAGGGCCAGATCTGTGGCCCAGTTATACCTGCCACCTACTAGGGCCCAGTCATCAGCCATGGTTGTTGAGGAAGAGACTGCTGAAAAGACCTGAGCAGGATGGGAGAGAACAAAGGTAGTTCTTTCTATTGCATGATAGGGATGGAAGACTTCAAAGCTTCCAGCAATCTCATTATTCAGGCTTCACTCCAGAAGTCATTTTTGCCATCAGGCTAGCTGAGGCTTCTGGGCCTCTCCTTGTGCCTCTTCATATTCTTCTCCTGGTTTCAGCTGAGGGCCAGGGATCATCACCGTCTGAAAGAGCAGGATGCCAAGTTACCCACCAAACAAGTCCAGGGCTAACCCAGAACTTCATCCCTCACTCCTACCCACCCACCTACCCACCAAGCCTTCCCTTTCCCGGTGGTACATCATCCCCTCTCCACTAGGTGGAACCCAACAGAGTGGCATAGGAGACCATGAGTATGGCCTCAGCTCTCTTAAAGGACTCAAGCCACCTTACCTTAATGATGGGCTGCTTAGGTGGTGCCCATGAGGGAACGATCTTGCCATGCATTCTCCAGCTTCCATAGGGGTTTACCAACTGCTTTTCAAATACAACATACTCCAGGACATCCTTGGGTACATCTTCCTGTCCATACATTAACCGGCCAAACCGGTCATAGATGGCCAGAGTCTACAAGGATGAAAGCAAAGCTGGCCTCTTAGTTTTTTTGGTGTGTGAATTGGCCACACAACCTTTTTTTTTGAGACAGAGTCCCACTCTGTTGCCCTGGCTGGAATGCAGTGGCTCGATCTCAGCTCACTGCAACCTCTGCCTCCTGGGCTCAAGCGATTCTTCTGCTTCAGCCTCCCAAGGAGCTGGGAGCTGGGATTACAGGCATGTGCCACCACGCCCGGCTGATTTTTTTTTAGTATTTTTAGTAGAGATGGAGGTTTCACCATATTGGCCAGGCCTGTCTCGAACTCCTGACCTCAGGTGATCCACCCGCCTTGGCCTCCCAAAGTGCTGTGATTACAGGTGTGAGCCACGAGGCCCAGCCTGCCACACAACCATTTTTGAAACAACCATAAGAAAAATCTTTTTTTTTCTTTTTTTGAAACAGAGTCTTGCTCTGTTGCCCAGGCTGGAGGGCAGTGGTGTAATATTATCTCACTGCAACCTCCATCTCCCAGGTTCATGATTCTCCTGCCTTAGCCTCCTGAGTAGCTGGTACTACAGGCATACATCATCATGCCGGGCTAATTTTTGTATTTTTAGTATAGATGGGGTTTCAAAATGTTGGCCAGGCTGGTCTTGAACTCCTGACCTTAAGTGATCTGCCCACCATGGTCTCCCGAAGTGCTGGGATTACAAGCGTAAGTTACTGTGCCCAACCAGAAAAACATCTTAATGGGTAGAAAAAAATTATCTCAGAATTCTGAATCTAGGCCTATCTAATCAACTACTGACACTTTACTCTTACAAGTTCTTTGACAGCAGGCAAAGAAAGGGGGGAGTTAAGACCAAGAAAGAGCCGGGCACGATAGCTCATGCCTATAGTCCCAGCACTTTGGGAGGCCAAGGTGGGTGGATCACTTGAGCCCAGGAGTCTGAGACCAGCTTGGGCCACATGGCAAGACCCTGTTTCTACAAAAAATTCAAAAATTAGCCAGGCATGGTAGTGGGCCCCTGTAGTCCCAACTACCTGGGAGGCTAAAGTGGGAGGACTGCTTGAGCCCAGGAGGTTGAGGCTGCAGTGAGCCATAATCGCATCACTGCACTCCAGCCTGGGTGACAGAATGAGACCTTGTCTTAGAAAAAAAAAAAAAGTCATTCTCTCTGATGCCAAAAAAGAGAGAAAAAAAAAAAAAAAGACCAGGAAGGGCAGGAGACAGTATCTTCACACGTCTTAGTAGAGCCAACATGTAACAGTGGGAAGAGGACAGTGGCACAGCAAGGAAGACAGACCACGGTGTACCTTTTGTTAGTGTCCACAATCCTGGGCAATGATACCCAGCACTCTAGAGGGAGGTGCCCAAGCTGAGAGTGAGAAAAGCTGGGAGGAAGGCAGACTAGTGCCTCTACCTGCCGGGTGTGCATGCGCACGGTGACCTGGCCGTACATGTTGCTCTCGTTCACCATACTTGAACAGCGAACTTGAACAACATGGGAGGGCTCTAAGGATTCCACAAAGCTCCAGCGGACGGTCTTACATTTGATGTCCCAGGTCATGTCCTAAGGGCAAAGGAGAACAAGTTCAACTGGAGTTTTCCATCCCTTTAGGGAAGCTGGTGCTGCCACACTGCTCTCACTTCCTGCAAGACTACAGCCAACAGGCAGCATACCAGGTGCTCTTTTGTGCCTATTTTCTCTCTCACCTTCCCAAGTTTTGTTTAAGCTATTGTTCAAGCTCACCTGACAACTCTCTCTTCATCTAAATCACAACTTCAGATCCACCCTCCTCTTTGAGGTCCCTTCTCCAAATCAATGAAAACCACATTCCAAACTGCCAGCATGCCCCATACACCATCATCCCTCCCATGCACTTTCATAGTCTGGCAATTATTGCATGTACTTGTGTTGACCATATATATATATATATTTCCCGCCCCCACTCAGCTATTAACAGTGAAAAGTGGGAATTTTATAGGGCCATGAGGGCTAAACTGTTAAGACTTGGGAAAATGGATAGAAATTCAAGTTCTACTGATAGACACTCAAGTTCTTATTCTTGAATCTCTAATTAAATGACAAAGTTCTTATCCTTGGGGGTCCCTCCACGGACCTCATACTCCTGTTACCACTCAATATAAGCCTTATGAAGTCTTGTTAAATCCTTCATGATAGTGCAGGCATATGGAGCTGTGGGCTACTGTAGGCCCTATCCTGGCCTCAGGACCTATGCTCCTTACTGCTTGTTGAGGGACTTCTTTCATTTGCCAGGGCCCTTACCAGAGTCAGTGTCAAGACATTATCATTCAGCTACGAGCAATGGAACTTAAGCCTGTGCCTTAAACTTCCTGCACTCTCAAAACTGATCCTTCTCAAGAAAAACCAGGCTGGGCACGGTGGCTCATACCTGTAATCCCAGCACTTTGGGAGGCCAATGCGGGTGGATCACCTGAGGTCAGGAGTTCGAGACCAGCCTGACCAACATGCAGAAACCCCGTCTCTACTAAAAATACAAAATTAGCTGGGTGTGGTGGTGCATGCCTTTGTAATCCCAGCTACTCGAGAGGCTGAGGCAGGAAAATTGCTTTAACCTGGGAGGCAGAGGTTGCAGTGAGCCGAGATCACACCATTGCACTCCAGCCTGGGCAACAAGAGGGAAACTCCATGAAAACAAAACAATAAAACAGGGTTTCACCATGTTGGCCAGGCTGGTCTCCAACTCCTGACCTCAGGTGATCTGCCCGCCTCAGGCTCCCAAAGTGCTGGGATTACAGGCATGAGTCACCACACCCGGCCCAGCATTTGTTTTAATAACAAAAACCTCAATATCCCATATGGAAACAAGTGAAGGAATAAACAACACAATGGAAATTCTAAAGTTACATTAGACATGCATACAAGCCAGGCACAGTGGCTCATGCCTGTAATCCCAGCACTTTGGGAGGCTGAGGAGGGCAGATCACAAGGTCTAGAGATCGAGACCATCCTGGCCAACATGGTGAAACCCTGGCTCTACTAAAAATATAAAATTAGCCAGGTGTGATGACTCATGCCTGTAATCCCAGTTACTCAGGAGGCTGAGGCAAGAAAAGTGCTTGAACCCTGCAAGCGGAGGTTTCGGTGAGATGAGATCGCACCATTGCGCTCCAGCCTGGGAAACAAGAACAAAACTCCATCTCAAAAAAAGAAAGATATAACTCTATCAAGACAGTTGAAGGTGAGCAAAAAAAGAAAAAAAAAAGAAGAAGATAAGACCAGAGATAATATCTAGAATCTGTCCATCGGGAACCCTACAGTTCTAAGAAGGATGAGAACTTACTGGAAAACAGTGTTCAGTTACCAAGGTATGAAGTCGGTCATGGTCTGAGCTAGAAAAGAAAGCAATAAATATCATTGACTACTGTCCTCATAATACCCTGCATAAAAATTGAAAATGGCCCTGAAAATGGTAATAATTCATTTTTACAAATGTTTTCCGCACATCCACTGTAAGCCAGGTATATAATATGCTAAGTTCTGGGGACACAAAGATGAACAATAATGTGAATTACCAGAAAACCCTGAGATCTAATAACAGAGTAAAATTAGGTTAAAAGTAAAAAAAAAAAATTTTTTTAATTGTGTTCAAAAAACAAAACAAAAACCCCCAAAAATTATGTTTAAATCTAAGGAGTAGGAGGAAATTTCTCTAAAATTACCATACATCCTTAAGATGGGTACTCTCACTGGGACATAGGACCTGGTTTTTGCTTTAAGCTGTTATGAGCAACAAAGTTCAACACAAGTAACAATCATTGTCTTATCTCCTCTTGCCTCTGACCCAGCATCAATACCATCTGGCTTGGCCTTATATCTTACATTCTCGTCTTTGTACCTAGTTGAAGATAATCATGTCTTTCCTGGTCCTATATTCTCTCCTTTATCTTGTTGCAGTGTGAGTGGCCAAGTCATGCTGACTCTATACAGTAATGGGGAGTTGGAATTTGGAGTAAGCCAAGATCTCGACACTGCACTCCTGACAGAGCAAGAATCTGTCTCAAAAAAAAAGTGAAAAGAAAAACCATAAAATGGGGGGAAATATTAGCAAAGCATATATCTGATGAGATTAATATCTAGAATACATAAAAAACTCCTACAATTCAACAACAAAATAACAAACAACCAAATTTAAAAATAGACATGGCCAGGCATGGTAGCTCACACCTGTAATTCCAGCACTTTGGGAGGCTAAGGTGGGCAGATCACAAGGTCAAGAGATCAAGACCATCCTGGCGAACATGGTGAAACCCTGTCTCTACTAAAAAAACAAAAATTAGCTGGGTGAGATAGCACGCACCTGTATTCCCAGCTGCTCGGGAGGCTGAGGTGGGAGAATCACTTCAACTCATGAGACGGAGGCTGCAGTGAGCCAAGATTGTGCTAGTTACTGCACTCAGCCTGGAGGCAGAGTGAGACTGCATCTAAAAAAAAAAAAAGGCCGGGCACAGTGGCTCAAGCCTGTAATCCCAGCACTTTCGAAGGCCGAGGCGGGTGGATCACGAGGTCAAGAAATCGAGACCATCCTGGTCAACATGGTGAAACCCCGTCTCTACTAAAAATACAAAATATTAGCTGGGCATGGTGGCACGTGCCTGTAATCCCAGCTACTCAGGAGGCTGAGGCAGGAGAATTGCCTGAATCCAGGAGGCGGAGGCTGCGGTGAGCCAAGATTGCGCCATGGCACTCCAGCCTGGGTAACAAGAGCGAAACTCCGTCTCAAAAAAAAAAAAACCTTTCTGGGCCAGGTGTGGTGACTCACACCTATAATCCCAGCACTTTGGGAGGCTGAGGCGGGTGGATCATCTGAGGTCAGGAGTTCAAGACCAGCCTGGCCAACATGGTCAGACCCCGTTTCTACTAAAAATACAAAAATTAGCTGGGAATGGTGGTATGCACCTGTAATCCCAGCTACTTGGGAGACTGAGTCAGGAGAATCGCTTCAATCTGGGAGGCAGAGGTTGTGGTGAGCCGAGATTGCGCCACTGCAGTCCAGCCTGAGCAACAGAGACTCCATCTCAAAAACAAAATAGGCCTTTCTTCAAAGATCATGTACAAACGGCCAATAAGCACATGAAAAAATGCTCAGTATCACTAGCTATTAGGGAAATACAAAGCAAAACCATAATGATACCATACATCAAAAAAAAAAAAAAGAAAAAGAGATACCATACTTCACACCCATGAGGATGCCTATTATAAAAAGAAACAGTGCCAGGCGCGGTGGCTCAAGCCTGTAATCCCAGCACTTTGGGAGGTTGAGGCGGGTGGATCACGAGGTCAAGAGATCGAGACCATCCTGGTCAACATGGTGAAACCCCATCTCTACTAAAAATACAAAAAAATTAGCTGGGCATGGTGGCGCGTGCCTGTAATCCCAGCTACTCAGGAGGCTGAGGCAGGAGAATTGCCTGAACCCAGGAGGTGGAGGTTGTGGTGAGCCGAGATCACGCCATTGCACTCCGGCCTGGGTAACAAGAGTGAAACTCCATCTCAAAAAAAAAAAAGAAACAGGCTGGACTCGGCGGCTCGTGCCTATAGTCCTAGCACTTTGGGAAGCTTAGGCAGGACTGCTTGAGCCCAGGAGTTTGAGACAGGCTGGGCAATATAGTGAGACCTCATCATACACACACACACACACACATATTATCATATGTATATATATATTTATTTTTTGGAAGAAAAGGAAAGTAATAGGTATCAGTGAGGGTGTAGAGAAAACGAATTCTGTGCATTGCTGGTAGGAATATAAAACAGTGTAGCTGCTATGGAAAACCATATGGTGGTTCCTCAAAAAGTCTGGGGCTTTTTTTGAGACAGTCTCATTCTGTCACTGACGCTGCTGGAGTGCAGTGGTGCAATCATAGCTCACTACAGCCTCAAAAACCCCTGGGCTCAAGCAATCTTTCTGCCGTAGTGTCTTGAATAGCTGGGACTACAGGCATGTGCCACAAAGCCTCGCTGATTTTTAAAATTTTTTATAGAGATTGGGTCTCACTATGTTGCCCAGAAACAATCCTCCCACTTCGGCCTGCCGAAGTGCTGGATTACAGGTATGAGCCACCACCCAGCCTCTCAAAAAGTTAAACACAGAGTTACTATGTGATCCAACAACTTCAGTTCTGAGTATATACCCATGTGAACTGAAAGCACAAACTCAAATACTTGGACACCAACAATCACAAGAGGATTATGCCACAATAAAAAGTGGAAACAACTTAAATGTCCATCACGAGATGAATGGATAAACAAAATGTGGTGTATATACATACAACGGAATATTATTCAGCCTCAATAAGGAAGGAAATTCTGACACATGCTACAATATATACGAATGTTGAAGACATCATGCTAAGTGAACTAAACCAATCACAAAAGGTCAAAAACTGTTAAGATTCCACTTATGTGAGGTACCTAGATGTCTTCCTCTGTCTGGATGCTATAATAAAAATACCATAAACCAAGTGGCTTATAAGAAACATTTATTTCTTATAGTTCCGGAGGCTGGGAAGTCCAAGATCAAGGCACTGACAAATTTGGTATCTGGTGAGGGCCCATTCCTGATAGATGGTGACTTCTTGCTGTGTCAAAGTGTGGAAGGGGAGCACAAGTTCCTTGGGGTTTCTTTTTTTTTTTTTTGAGATGGAGTTTCGCTCTTGTTACCCAGGCTGGAGTGCAATGGCGCAATCTCAGCTCACTGCAACCTCCACCTCCTGGGTTCAGGCAATTTTCCTGCCTCAGCCTCCTGAGTAGCTGGGATTACAGGAGCACGCCACCATGCCCAGCTAATTTTTTATATTTTTAGTAGAGATGGGGTTTCACCATGTTGACCATGATGGTCTCAATCTCTTGACCTCATGATCCACCCACCTTCGCCTCCCAAAGTGCTGGGATTACAGGCTTGAGCCACCGCACCCGGCCTGGGGTTTCTTTTATAAGGGTGCTATTCCCATTCATGAGGGCTTCAGTCTCATGACATCATCAATTCCCAGAGGTTCCCCCCACAGCCTATACCATCACCTTGGGGGTTAGGATTTCAACATATGAATTTTCAGGAGACACAAGCATCAGACCATAGCATCAGGATGGGTAAATTCATAAAGAAAGTAGAATGGAGGTTACTAGGTGATAAGGGAAGAGGGCAACATTTCTGTTTGGGAAGAACGCAATCTGGAAAAGGATAGTGGTAAGAATTGTACAACATTGAGAATGTACTTATTAATGCCACTGAATTATATATTTCAAAATGATTAAAATGGTAAATTTTATATTATGTGTATTTTACCACAAATATATAAAAGCTATTCTTAAATCTTATAATTTTTAAGATAAATAATTGTCTTTGATTTTTCTAAAATATCTATTTGTTAAAAAAAAAAAATGCAGGAATACAAAATGACAAGAAAACCGTACCAACACTTTGGGAGGCTGAGGTGAGAGACTGCTTGAGGCCAGAGTTCAAGACCAGCCTGGGCAACATGGCAAGTCCCTGTCTCTACAGAAAATTTTAAAATTAGCCAAGTATAATGGCATGTACTAAGTGCCAGCTATTTGGGAGGCTGAAATGGGAGGACCACTTGAGCCTGGGAGGCCAAGGCTGCAGTGAGCCATGACTGCACCACTGTACTCTAGCCTGGGTGACAGAGTGAGATCCTGTCTCAAAAAACAAAAACAAGCCCAGGCGTGGTGGCTGACGCCTGTGATTCTAGCACTTTGGGAGGCTGAGGTGGGTGGATTGCCCAAGGTCAGGAGTTCGACACCAACCTGACCAATAAAGTGAAATGCCTACTAAAAATACAAAAATTATCTGGGTGTCACGGCATGTGCCTGTAGTCCCAGCTACTCGAGGGGCTGAGAGAGGAGAAATGCTTGAATTTGGGAGACAGAGTGTGCTGAAATTGCAACACTACACTCCAGTCTGGGCAACAGAGGGCGACTCCATCTCAAAAACAAAAACAGGCAAGGCATGGTGGCTCACACCTGTAATCAGCACTTTGGGAGGCCGAGTTGGGTGGATGACAAGGTCAGGAGATCGAAGCCCATCCTCGCTAACACGGCGAAACCCCGTCTCTACTAAAAATAGAAAAAATTAGCCAAGTGTGGTGTCACCCGCCTGTAGTCCCAGCTACTCAGGAGGCTGAGGCAGGAGAATCGCTTGAACCCAAGAGGCCGGTTTTCAGTGAGCCGAGATCGAAGCACTGCACTCCACCAAAACCCAGAAGAAAAAAATTAGACAAGAGAAAGTGGACCCATTGAATACATAGATTTTACAGTTATCAGACACAGATTTTAAAATAACTGTGATTAGTATGTTCAATAAATTAGATGTCAGAATGGAGAATTTTTCCAGAGAATTGGATACACTAAAAAAAAAAAAAAAGAAAATTCTAAAAGTGAAAAACAGAAAATAAATATAAAATTAAGAACTCAATAGGTAGGTCTGACAGCAGATTAGGTGCAACTGAAAAGAGGACAGGAAGACAGATCAGAAAATATCCAGACTAAAGCTGGAGGGGAAAAAAAAGCTTGGAAAAATATAGAAAAGAGCTGAAGCCACATTTGGCACACAGTGAAAGATCTAACATATGTGTATTCAGAACTACACAAGGAGATGAGAAAGTGGAGCAGAAGCAGCATCTGAAGAGATGAGTTCTCACTGACAATTTTCCAACAGTGACAAAAAAAAGCACCCAAAGATTTAAGAAGCAATATGAACCCAGAGGAGGATAAAAGACACACACATGGCCTGGCGTGGTGGCACATGCCTATAATCCTAACATTTTGGGAGTCTTTTGAGGTGGAAGGATCGCTTGAAGCCAGGGATTCAAGACCAGATTGGCAACATGGCCAGACCCTGTCTCTACAAAAAACTAAAACATAAATAAAAATTTAAGAAGGCAGACACCCATAGCTAAATCACAGTATATTGTTGAATACTAAAGAGAGAGAAAAAATCTTTTTTTTTTTTGAGACTGAGTCTTGCTCTGTCACCCAGGCTGGAGTACAGTGGCATGATCTTGGTTCACTACAACCTCCGCCTCCCGGGTTCAAGTGATTCTCCTGCCTCACCCTCCTGAGTAGCTGGGATTACAGGCATTCGTCACCACGCCCAGCTAATTTTTGTATTCTTAGTAGAGATGAGGGTTTCACCATGTCGGCCAGGCTGGTCTCAAATTATTGACCTCGTGATCTGCTCGCCTCAGCCTCCCAAATTGTTGGGATTACAGGAGTGAGCCACTGCTCCCGGCCCGAGAAAAAAATCTTAAAAGCACACAAAGTAAAAGTAAACTTTTTTTTTCGCCCCGCCTCCCAGTAAAAACAAACTTTAAACAATGTTTTTTAAAAATTGCTAATTTTTCAATAGAAACAACAGGAACGCTGAGGCGGACAAATCGCCTGAGGTCAGGAATTAAGACCAGCCTGGCCAACATGAGGAAACCCTGTCTCTCCTAAAAAATACAAAAATTAGCCAGGTGTGGTGGCACATGCCTGTAATCCCAGCTACTGGGGAGGCTGAGGCAGGAGAATCACTTGAACCTGGGAGATGGAGGGTGCAGTGAGCCAAGATGGTACCACTGCACTCCAGTCTGGGCGACAGAGCAAGACTCCATCTCAAAAAAAGAAAAGAAAAGAAAGAAACAACAGTAACCTAACCTTTTTATGATCCTCAGACTTAAAAAAAAAAAAGAAGAAATAATCAAGCCGAGATCATACCACTGCACTCCAGTCAGGGTGACAGAGCAAGCCTTCATCTCAAAAGAAAAGGGAGAAAGAGAAAGGGAAAGGGAAAAAGGGAAAGGGAAAGAAAAGACACAACAGTAACCTAACCTTTTTATGATCCCCAGATTAAAAAAAAGAAGAAGAAGAAATAATTGAGATGACCTCTTCGAATTCTGATGGAAAATAACTATTGAACAGGAATTCTCTACCCAAATAAAGTGTCCTTCAGAAACAATATGGGGCCAGGCAGAGTGGCTCATGCCTGAAATTTCAGTACTTTGTGAGGCCAACGTAGGTGGATTGCTTGAGCCCAGCAGTTTGAGACCAGCCTGTAAGGTCTCCCTGGGTTGAGTGAAACTCCCTCTCAAAAAATAAAATAAAATAAATTTTTTAAAAATGTTTTTGCCGGCCAGGCGCAGTGGCTCAAGCCTATAATCCCAGTACTTTGGGAGGCCGAGGCGGGTGGATGGATCACGAGGTCAAGAGATCAAGACCATCCTGGTCAACAAGGTGAAACCCCGTCTCTACTAAGAATACAAAAATTAGCTGGGCATGGTGGTGCGCGTCTGTAGTCCCAGCTATTCGGGAGGCTGAGGCAGGAGAATTGCTTGAACCCAGGAGGGAGAGGTTGTGTCGAGCCGAGATCGTGCCATTGCACTCCAGTCTGGGTAACAACAGCAAAACTCCATCTCAAAAAAAAAAAAAAAAGTTTTTGCCAGGCCCAGTGGCTCACGCCTGTAATCCCAGCACTTTGGGAGGCCAAGGCGGCGGATCACGAGGTCAAGAGATCAAGACCATCCTGGGCAACATGGTGAAACCACATCTCTACTAAAAATACAAAAATTAGCCGGGCATGGCAGCGCACGCCTGTAGTACCAGCTACTCAAGAGTCTGAGGCAGAAGAGATGCTTGAACCCGGGAGGCGGAGGTTGCAGTGAGCCGAGATCATGCCACTGCACTCCAGCCTGGCGACAGAGCAAGACTCCGTCTAAATATATATATAATTTAGCCGGGCATGGTGGCCTGCGCCTGTAAACCCAGCTGCTCGGGAGGCTGAGGCAGAAGAATCGCTGGAACTCAGGAGGTGGAGGGTGCAGTGAGCTGAGATCGTGCCATTGCACTCCAGCCTGGACAACAAAAGCGAAACTCTTGTCTCAAAAAAAAAAAAAAAAAAAAAATTAGCTGGGTATGGTGGCATGTGCCTGAAGGTTACTTCAGTTACTTAACTGAAGGCAAAAAACAAATCTGTGCAAAAAAACAAAAACAAAGATTGTACCTAAAATAATAGCTACCTGTTGAGAACAGAATGGGTACAAGATAGGGAGTTCACTTACTTGTTTAGACAAAGTTGATCTTCAATAAAGATATCCTCAAAGAAAAAAAAGTAGGAGGGAGAGCTGGAAATTTTCACAAGAATAATATATTCATAACTTAGGAAAGGGAAATAGAGATATATAAGACAAACACACAAAAAAGATCAGGATGAATTCAGGGATCAGAGGGGGTAAAAAGGCAGCCATTCTAGCACAAGGTCCCAACACTTGCAGGTGGTAGAAATTCCCAGAAGCAGAGAAGGGAGTAAAAGACAGCTTCAGTCACTAACTACTTCCAACAGAGGAAGTTCGCTCACTCTAGATCTCTTACTTGAAGGCAAAAAAAAACAAAACAAAAAACAAAAAACTGTGCCCAAAATAATAGCTACCTGCTGAGAACAGAATGGGTACAAGACAGGGAGTTAGTTCACTTACTTGTTTAGACAAAGGTGAGCTTCAATGAAGATATCCTTAGCTTTTTCAGGGAAGTCCTTTATTTTAAAACTGGCATCATGTTCTTTTATCTTTCGGATTCTGTAAAATTAAGCCTGAGTATTACTTCTAAAGAAATCTTACAATTCCATAATTCACAGCCTACATTCATGTCCATCCACTTACTCAATAATTGATTTTTTAATGCGTCAAGTCCTGGAAATTCAACTTTCTCTCTCTTAAACCAAGCACTCTAAAGAAAGACCAAGACTTAATTCCAAGTTCTCTAAGACAAAAAAAAAAAAGACCAAGACTACTCATAGTAAAATTTCAGGGCCGGGCGTGGTGGCTCACGCCTCAAATCCAAGCACTTTGGAGGCCAAGGCGGGCAGATCACGTGAGGTCGGGAGTTCACGACCAGCCTGACCAATATGGTGAGACCCCATCATATTAAAAAGAAAATAAAAGAAATTTCAGAATTCGAGAATGAAAGATGACATCTTATATGTACTAAAAAAAGAAAAAACAGGTTTCATACAAATGCTCAAGAGTCAGAATAGGCTAGGTACAGTGGCTCACACCTGTATTCCAAGAACTTTGGGAAGCTGAGGCAGGTGGATCACTTAAGGTCAGGAGTTTGAGACCAGCCTAGCCAATATGGTGAAACTCCATCTCTACTAAAAATACAAAAATAAGCTGAGCGTGGTCATGCACGTCTGTAATCCCAGCTACTCGGGAGGCTGAGAAAGGAGAATTGCTCAAACCTGGGAGGCGGACATTGCAGTGAGCCAAGATCACAGCACTGCACTCCAGCCTGGGTGACTGAGTGAGACTCCATCTCAACAACAAAAACAACAAAAATTAGCGGGGCCTGGCGGCGCATGGCTGTAATCCCAGCTACTCGGGAGGCTGAGGCAGGAGAATCACTTGAATTTGGAGGTAGAGTTTGCAGTGAACCAAGATTACGCCACTGCACTCCAGCCCGGGCAACAGAGCAAGACTCCATCTCAAAAAACAGAGTCAGAATAAACTGGGCTTCTTAACGGCAACATTAGAAGTTACAAAGACAACAGAGCAGTACTTTTATTATTCACTCATTCATTCATTCACTGAGACAGGGTCTCACTATATTGCCCAGGCTAGAATACAGTGGCACCATCAGGGCTCACTGCAGCCTTGACCTCTGGGGCTCAAGCAATCCTTCCACTTCAACCTCTCAAGTAACTGGGACTATAGGTGTGCACTACCACATTTGGTTAATTTTCACTCTTTTTTTTTTTTTTGAGACAGTTTTGCTCGTCACCCAGGCTGGAGTACAGTGGTGTGATCTCAGCTCATTACAACCTCCAACTCTCAAGTTCAAGTGATTCTCCTGCTTCAGCTTCCTGAAGTAGCTGGGATTACAGGCACCTGCCACCATGGCTGGCTTGTTTTTTTTGTATTTTTAGTAGAGACAGAGTTTCACCATGTTGGCCAGGCTGGTCTTAAACTCCTGACCTCAGGTGATCCACCCAACATGGCCTCCCAAAGTGCTAGGATTACAGGCGTGAGCCACTGTGCCTGGCCAATTTTCGTATTTTTTTTTAGTTTTTGTAGAGACAGGGTCTCACTATGTTGCCCAGCTGGTATTCAACTCCTGCTCAAGTGATCCTCCTGCCTCAGCCTCCAAGTGTTGAGATTTCAGGCATGACCCACCACGTCCAGACTTTGAGCAATACTACTACTTCTTCCTCTTTTTTTTTTTTTTTTTAAGGTTGAGCCACCTTGAAATCTGGTTTCAGGCAGCTGGCCAAGCAATACTTTTAATTGAGGAAAAAATTATTTCTATCCCAGAATTGGATACCTGGGAAAATTATAAAAGAAAGATTTATCTTTAGACTTGCAAGATCTCTTTTATCCATCATGCAGGTAGCTACTAGAGAATGTGTTCCACCCAAGTAATGAAATAAATCATGAAAACATAAAGACATAGGATCCAAGCAACACGGAATATATCATAAGAGGCAGGCAAGGCCAGGCCTGGTGGCTCATGCCTGTAATTCCAGCACTTTGGGAGGCTAAGGCAGGTGGATTGCCTGAGGTCAAGAGTTCAACATCAGCCTTGCCAACATAGTGAAACCCCACCATAGTGCCAACCCTGTCTCCATTAAGAATACAAAAAAAGGGGGCCGGGCACAGTGGCTCACGCCTGTAATCCCAGCACTTTGGGAGGCTGACGGGCGGATCACGAGGTTAAGAGATCGAGACCATCCTGGCCAACATAGTGAAACCCCATCTCTACTAAAAATACAAAAAAATTAGCTGGGCGTGGTGGCTCATGCCTGTAGTCCCAGCTACTCGGGAGGCTGAGGCAGGAGAATTGCTTGAACGCGGGAGGCGGAGGTTGCAGTGAGCCGAGACTATGCCACTGCACTCCAGCCTGGCGCCTGGCGACACAGCAAGACTCTGTCTCAAAAAAAAAAAAAATTAGCTGGGCATGGTGGTGGGCACCTGTAATCCCAGCTACTCAGGAGGCTGAGGCAGGAGAATTGCTTGAACCCGGGAGGCAGAGGTTGAAGTTAGCTGAGATCATGCCATTGCACTCCAGCCTGGGCAACAAGAACAAAACTCTGTCTCAAAAAAGGAAATAAAAAGGGAAGGCGATCGAGACCATCCTGGTCAACAAGGTGAAACCCCGTCTCTACTAAAAATAGAAAAATTAGCTGGGCGTGGTGGTGCGTGCCTGTAGTCCCAGCTACTCGGGAGGCTGAGACAGGAGAATTGCTTGAACCCAGAAGGCGGAGGTTGTGGTGAGCCGAGATTGTGCCATTGCACTCCAGTCTGGGTAACAACAGTGAAACTCGGTCTCAAAAAAAAAAAGGAAGGCAAGAGGAATATTGTATCCTAAGTTGTACAGACGGCCGAAAGAGCAACTAACTAGTCCAGACCAGAACAGGCAAGAAGACTCCAGGAGGGATTTGTTGAAAAAGATGAAATTAATAAAATATTTAATGTTGCCGGGCATGATGGCTCACACCTATAATCCCAGCACTTTGGGAGGCCAAGGCAGGCAGAATACGAGGTCAGGAGTTCAAGATCAGCCTGACCAATATGGCGAAACCCCATTTCTACCGAAAATACAAAAAATTAGCCAGGCATGGTGATACATGCCTGTAGTCCCAGCTACTTGGGAGGCTGAGGCAGGAGAATCGCTTGAATCTGAGAGGCAGAGGTTTCATGAGCTGAGATCAAGCCACTGCACTCCAGCCTGGGCAATGCAGCAAGATTCCGTCTCAAGAAATAAACAAAAAACAATGTTTTGAATGCACAGAGAGGAAATTACATAAGCAATAGTTCCATAAGCAAACCAGTAAAATAACACACATCAGGAAACATTATGCAAGAAAGAAAAAGTATTCATAATGTACTATGTAACTCAGCTGTCAACAGCATTTTCCAAGTTATAACAATGTAAATAGAGAATCTGATTTAAGCAAAGTGTTAATTTAAGTATATTAAAGAAATTAATCCCAGGAATGTGAGGTTGGTTTAACATTTGAAAATCAATTAATGAGGCCTGGCATGGTGCCTCACACCTGTAATGCCAGCATTTTGGGAGGCCAAGGAGGGTGGATCACCTGAGGTCAGAAGTTCAAGAGCAGCCTGGCTACCATAGTGAAACCCTAACTAAAAATACAAAAATTAGTCGGGCATGGTGGAGTGCTCCTGTAGTCTCAGCTACTCAGGAGGCAGAGACAGGAGAATCACTTGAACCTGGGAGGTGGAGGCTGCAGTGAGCCGAGATGGAGCCACTGCACTGCAGCCTGGGTGACAGAGCAAGATTCCATCTCAATTTTAAAAAAAAAAAAAAAAAAGAGGGCAGGTGTGGTGGCTCACACCTATAATCCCAGCACTTTGGGAGGCCGAGGCGGGTGGATCATGAGGTCAAGAGATCGAGACCATCCTGGTCAACATGGTGAAACCCCGTCTCTACTAAAAATACAAAAATTAGCTGGGCATCGTGGTGCGTGCCTGTAGTCCCAGCTACTCGGGAGGCTGAGGCAGGAGAATTGCTTGAACCCAGAAGGTGGAGGTTGCGGTGAGCCGAGATCGTGCCATTGCAATCCAGTCTGGGTAACATGGTGATGGTGCAAAACTCCGTCTCAAAAAAAAAAAGAAAATCAATTAATATATGTCATCATATCAACAAAATAAGAACAAATATCACATGATCATTTCAATAGACACAGAAAAAGGATTTGATAAAATGATACCCCTTTATACTCTTTTAACCTCAAAGTCTTGCTTGTACTGTTCTACTCCTTAGAATGCTATTCCTCACTATACGTTTCCACCTGGCTAACTCCAACAAAAACAATCCCATTTTTTTTTTGAGATGGAGTATTACTCTGTCGCCCAGGCTGGAGTACAGTGGTACAATCTCTGCTCATTGTAACCTTGGCCTCCCAGGTTCAAGTGATTCTCCTGCCTCAGCCTTTCAAGTAGCTAGGATTGCAGGCATGCGCCACCACACTTGACTAATTTTTTATTTTTAGTAGAGACAGGGTTTCACCATGTTGGCCAGGCTGGTCTCGAACTCCTGACCTCAGGTGATCTGCCCACCTTGCCCTCCCAAAGTGCTGGGATTACAGGCATGAGTTACTGTGCCCAGCCACAATCCCAACTTTAAATGTCATTTCCTCAGGGAAGTCTTCCCTGATCTCCCAGGCCAAGTTATCTTTCCCTGTTATATGCTCCCATGGAAATCCTACTTCACTACACCCATATTATTTAACTGTGTGCAATCAGTAAGTATTTAATGACTGTTTTCCTCCCCTAGAAGAGAACTGCATGGTAAAACCGTACATGCTTTGTTTATCATCACCATGGACCCTACTCACAGCCCAGGAGAGAAATGCATGAAAGAAAACATTGCTGTACAGAGTATTAGAAGTAATAAATACAAGTGTGCAATTACAATTATAGCAAAGGCAGCACGAAAAATAGCCAGGAGGGCTTAAAAACAAACATGATGGCTGGGCACAGTGGATCACGCCTGTAATCCCAGCACTTTGGGAGGCCAAGGCGGGTGGATCACTTGAGGTCGGGAGTTTGAGACCAGCCTGACCAATATGATGAAAACCCGTCTTTACTAAAAATACAAAATTAGCGAGGTGTGGTGGCACATGCCTGTAATCCCAGCTAGTTGGGCGGCTGAGGCAGGAGAATCACTTGAACCTGGGAGGCGGAGGTCGCGGTGAGCCAAGACCGCACCATTGCACTCCAGCCTGGCAACAAGAGTGAAACTCTGTCTCAAATAAAATTAAAAAAACATAATGTTTGGGTTGGATCTTGAGGAATCAGCTACCAGAAAAAGAAGCGGGGGGAAAAGACATTTCAGACAAAGGAAAGGATGTGCAAAGACAAAGAGGCATGGATGGCACAGTACTGGCAAGGAACTGGCAATTAGTTTGGAAATACTAAAATTTAGGATGAGAAAAATGGAATAAGAACACAGGATGAGGCCGGGCACGGTGGCTCATGCCTGTAATCCCAGCACTTTGGGAGGCCGAGGCGGGTGGATCACGAGGTCAAGAGATCGAGACCATCCTGGTCAACATGGTGAAACCCCGTCTCTACTAAAAATACAAAAAATTAGCTGGGCATGGTGGCGCGTGCCTGTAATTCCAGCTACTCAGGAGGCTGAGGCAGGAGAATTGCCTGAGCCCAGGAGGCGGAGATTGCCGTGAGCTGAGATCGCGCCATTGCACTCCAGCCTGGGTAACCAGCGAAACTCCGTCTCAAAAAAAAAAAAAGAACACAGGATGTTGGTGAAGAAAAAGGCAAGGACCAGATTATAAAAGCCTTGTATACCATTGAAGATATCTGGATTTTATTTTTTGGGTACAGGAAGCCATAAAAGAGTTCTAAGCAGGGAAGGTGATGTGATAGAATATATATTTAGAGAAATAAGTCATGGCCATGTGAAGAATTAACACTGACTCAATATACTTATGCACATAAACCTATATATAATACTAAAGAAACCTGATTTAGATATACCCAGAGCAGCTACTCTGGGCACACTGGCCTATGGGGTAGCCCTGTTCTGCAAGGAACACTACCAATTTTTTAAAAAGATAGACCCAGCCAGGTACAGTGGTTCACGCCTATAATCCCAGCACTTTGGGAGGCCGAGGAGGGTGGATCACGAGGTCAGGAGTTCAAGACCAGCCTGACCAACATGGAGAAACCCCGTCTCTACTAAGAAAATACAAAATTAGCCAGACATGGTGGTACATGCCTATAATCCCAGCTACTTGGGAAGCTGAGGCAGGAGAATCGTTTGAACCCAGGAGGCGGAGGTTGTGATAAGTCAAGATCATACCATTGTAATCCATCCTGGCGAGAGTGAAACTCCACCTCAAAAAAAAAAAAAGATACAGTTAGAGTTAGACTGGCTGGGTGTGGCAGCTCACACCTATAATCACACCAATTTGGGAGGCTGAGGTGGGAAGACTGCTCGAACCCAGGAGTTCGAGACCAGCCTGGGCACATAGTGAGACCCCATCTCTAAAAAAAAATTCTTTTAAAAATTACCTGGGTTGAGCCAGGTGCAGTGGCTCACGCCTGTAATCCTAGCACTTTGGGAGGTCAAAGCAGGCGGATCACCTGAGGTCAGGAGTTCAAGAGCAGGCTGCCCAACATGGAGAAACCCCATCTCTACTAAAAATACAAAATTAGCTAGCATGGTGGTGCATGCCTGTAATGCCAGCTACTCAGGAGGCTGACGCAGGAGAATAGCTTGAACCTGGGAGGCAGAGGTTGCAGTGAGCCGAGATGGAGCCACTGCACTCCGGCATGGGTAACAAGAGTGAAATTTGATCTCAAAAAAAAAAAGAATTACCAGGGTTGTCCAGGTGCAGCGGCTCACACCTGTAATCCCAGCGCTTCGGGAGGCCAAGGCAGGCAGATCAGGAAATCAAGAGATTGAGACTATCCTGGCTAATGTGATGAAACCCTGTCTCTACCAAAAATACAAAAATTAGCTGAGTATGGTGGCATGTGCTTGTAGTCCCAGCTACTTGGGAGGCTGAGGCTGGGGAATCACTAGAACCCGGGAAGTGGAGGTTGCAGTGAACCAAGACTGCATCACTGCACTCCATCCTGATGACAGAATGAGAAAAAAAAAAGTGCCAGGCATGGTGGCTCATGCCTGTAATCCCAGCACTCTGAGAGGCCTACATGGCAGATCACAAGGTCAGGAATTCAAGACCAGCCTGGCCAAAATGGTGAAACCCTATCTCTACCAAAAATACAAAATTTAGCTGGGTGTGGTGACAGGCGCCTGTAATCCCAGCTACTCAGGAAGCTGAGGCAGAAGAATTGCTTGAACCCAGGAAGCAGAATATGCAGTGAGCTGAGCTAGCGCTATCGCACTCCACCCTGGGCAACAGTGTGAGACTATGTCTCAAAAAAAAAAAAAATTAGCTGGGGATGTTGGTGGATGCTTGTATTACAAGCTACTAGGGAGGCTGAGGTGGGAGGATCAATTGAACATATAAGGTCAGGGTGCTGTGAGCCATGATCACATCACTGCATTCCAGCCTGGGGAACAGAGCAAGACCCTGTCTCAAAAAAAGAAAAAGATTGGCCAGGCACGGTGGCTCAAGCCTGTAATCCCAGCACTTTGGGAGGCTGAGGTGGGTGGATCACGAGGTCAAGAGATCGAGACCATCCTGGTCAACATGGTGAAATCCCGTCTCTACTAAAAATACAAAAAAAAAAGTAGCTGGGCATGGTGGCGCGTGCCTGTAATCCCAGCTACTCAGGAGGCTGAGGCAGGAGAATTGCCTGAACCCAGGAGGCGGAGGTTGCGGTGAGCTGAGATCGTGCCATTGCACTCCAGCCTGGGTAACAAGAGCGAAACTCTGCCTCAAAAAAAAAAATAAATAGATAAATAAAAAAAGCTAGAGTGATGAATACGAAATTATTTGGTCTACTCAACTAAGAGAGTCTAGGAGAAAGATTCTATGGGAGTTCAAGGCTGCAATAAGCTATGATTAGGCCCCTGCATTCTAGCTTGAGTGACAGAATAAGACCCTGTCTCTTACCAAAGAAACAAAAACGGCTGGGCGCAATGGCTCACACTATAATCCCAGCACTCTAGGAGTCTGAGGCGGGCAGATCACCTGAGGTCAGGAATTTGAAACTAGCCTGGCCAGCATGGTGAAACACCGTCTCTATTAAAAATACAAAAAAATGGTGGGGTGCGATGGCTCATACCTGTAATCCCAGCACTTTGGGAGGCCAAGGCAGGCGAATCACGAGTTGAAGAGATTGAGACCAGCCTGGCCAACATGGTGAAACCCTGTCTGTACTAAAAATACAAAAATTAGCTGGGCGTGGTGGCGCGTGCCTGTAGTCCCTGCTACTCAGGAGGCTGAGCAAGGAAAATTGCTTGAGCCCAGGAAGCGGAGGTTGCAGTGAGCCGAGATCGCACCACTGCACTCCAGCCTGGCACCTAGTGACAGAACAAAACTCTGTCTCAAAAAATACAAAAAAATTAGCTGGGCACACATCTGTTATCCTAGCTACTCCGGAGACTAACGCAGGAGAATTGCTTGAACCTGGAAGGCAGAGGTTGCAGTGAGCAGAGATTGCACCACTGCATTCCAGCCTGGGCAACAGAAACTCTGTCTCAGAAAAAGAAAAGAAAAAGGTTAAGGTTTCAGCTCCTTAGCTAAGACCCAGTTAGCTCCCTAGAACAGGTCTTTCCTCTTGACTCTTTTTGGCCTTTATTACTCTCTGAAGTCTAAATTCTTTAAATTCTAAGGTACTTCTTACATAAATATAGTCTCTTATGTTATTATTTTAAATATACAATTAAAAAAGGGTCCTACACATTCCAAAGTCAACTCCCTAACTGATGTGACGAAAATTACCAATAAAGCAGGGATGCTAAGAATCAGAAGACCCACATTATTCTGTATTAAATAAAGACTCTACTACAAAGGAGAAAATACCATCAGGTTATTAACAGAGTGATACCCAACCCAATTAACCAGGAAAGTTCTCTTTGGGATAAAGTAATAACAAGGAATTGTTATTCTAATACTAACTCCCGATTGTCTCAGACACCTACGCCACTTGTGATGCCATAGTCTTCTTCATTCGTTCAGTTTTCTGTTTCAGTCCTTCCCTTGAAAGAAATGATATGCGAGCATCACCCTCAGGAGGAACATAGGCATCAAAGATACCAGCTGTAATGAGGAAAGAAAAAAAATAATAAAGAGTTGAAAGATTGAGAAAAAGTCATATAAAATTGAAGTAACATAAAATTGGGAAGGATTGTGGATATAAAGTAGACTGATGAAACAGACTTCCATGTCGAGAGAACTATGTTACCCTAGACAAAAAAAGAACAATTTAAGTCTTCTCTCAGAGCCTCTGTTTCTACTGCCACAAAATGGGGAAATTTCACTCTTGCTTTCCAGGGACAGTGTGAAATTAAGTTCAAAGAACAACTTCATGATATATAGTGTACATAAGGTTAATCATTACTGAGGTCAAACTGACTTCATGCTTAATTAAATATCATCAATCACAGTCCAAGTCATCCCAAGTTCCAGAAGCTCTCTGACAGAAGGATCCTGGGTCAGGGTCCCAGAAAGATCTCACCTGAACAGGCCAGATGTATAGGACGCTCCAAACGTTCTGGAGGAATAACCACTCCTGCTTTCCGGGCATGTTCCAAAAACTCCTTTTCTGTTTTGAATTTAGGTGGATAAGTAGGAGGTGTGAAACGTTTTTTAGTTCTTACTGGAACTATAGCTGCGGACTGAGTCACCAGAACTGGCTGGAAGGTGAGAGAAAGGTTAGGAACTTAGAATAAAGATCTACTCTCTTGAACAAACTTGAAGCAAAGCAATATAGAAAGGGTATATGCAAAGAATGCTTCAGGAACAATTATAAAACAATAATCACAGGGAAAAATGCATTAGAACCTTAAGACTTATGGGTGTTTCTGAATAGAAGACAGCAAACTTTATTAACATCACGTTTACCAAAGGCTTTTAGAACTTTCTACAGTACAGGACTATGCTAACTCCTACGGATACTGAATTGATTAAAGCAAGTTTCAAAGAACTGATGGGGAAACAACAACCCAATACTGAAATGAGCAGAACAGTGTTCTTCATTATTTCATTTTTATTTTTTGAGACAGATCGCCAGCCCAGAGTGTGGTGGCACCATCACAGCTCACTACAGACTTGACCTGGGCTCTATCTTTCCACAGCAGCCTCCCAAGTAGCTGGGACAAAAGAAGTGCGCCATCACGCCCGGCTAATTTTCAAATTGTTTGTAAAGACGGAGTGTTACTATTGTTGCCTAGGCTCATTTCGAACTCCTGGGCTCAAGCCATCCTTCTGCCTCAGACTTCCAAAGTGCTGAAATTACAACTGTGAACCACTGCGCCCGTCCCTGAATACTATTCTTAAAGCATAAGTAAAGTCCTCTTGTGGGCATCTGCTCCATATTTACTCCTCATATTTTGCTCATTCTATTATGAGTCTTGCTGTAAACTTTATTCTGCCGTTTTAGTACCCAATTGACCAATAAACTCTTGAAAGACCAGGAGACCTTTTCTCTCTGATCATTAGGTTTGCTCAGACAGAGGCGGTGACAATATGGAACTTTCCGCATTTTCAGCTACTCTTCAATGTAAGCTACTCTTTATTTATAAGATTAGGGAGTCCACCTTCCAAGCCATTACTAGTCTCTCTTTCAATATCTCCTCGCCGGACAGACCCAAACCAAACCGGAAAAACGTAATCATCGTTAATTCACTCGTTCTCACGGTCCTCTCTAAACTCTCCCGATTCAGCCAGAGTTCCGTAGCTGGGTCCTGGCCACCTCAACCTCTTCCCCAGCTTAGGTCTCACTCGTATTGTCCCAGCTCACCAAGGACAATTCACAGATAATATTTCCCTCGACTTTGCCCTCCTCCTCTAGCCCCTAGGGTCCTATCGGCCCCGTTCCTACCCACCTGCCGAGACCACCAACCGAAAACCCTCGATACACACGACAACCCTTCAGCTACGGGGGCAGCCATCTTGTTCCCGCAAAGATCGCCGGGAAGGGAGCTGAGCTTGAAGAGCGTCGGGTAGGAGAGAAGCCGCATAGGGTGGAGCTAGCGCAGGGGTGGAATTTTCCAGGGAGCGCGCCCACCGCCGAAATGTGAGCAGCGAGGACGCGCACGGGCTCGCGGGAGTGGAGGAGGGTGGAGTAAGGCCGCGCGTGCGCGAGGAGACGCCTTAGGGCGCAGGGTGGAAAGCGCCGCTGTCACGCGCCAGCAGAAGAGCGCTTGAACGCGAGCTGCGCCTGCGCGCGAGGCGTTCTGGCGGCCGAGAAATGGGCACTGCGGTATGCTTGGCACATTGCTGTTTATTCCATTTGTTAAAAAATGAGAAGGAGGCCAGGCGCGGTGGCTCACACCTGTAATCTCAGCACTTTGGAAGGCCTAGGCGGGTGGATCACCTGAGGTCAGGAGTTTGAGACCAGCCTGGCCAACATGGCGAAACCTGTCTCTACTAAAAATAGAAACATTAAAGAAAAAAGAAAATTTCCGGGCGCGGTGGCTCATGCCTGTAATCCTAGCACTTTGGGAGGCTGAGGTGGGTGGATCACCTCAGGTGAGGAGTTCAAGACCAGCCTGTCCATCATGGTGAAACCTCATCATTTTTTTTTTTTTTTAATCCTGCCTCAGGTTTATTTATACAAATAGCACAGGAGGACCCCAGCCCCATGCAGATGGCAGCCCCAGGGGGGTCACACCAGTCCTTCTGTCCTCACATTGGCAGACAAAGATATCTACTCTGAAGCCTTTGTAGGGGCCTGGGCACCTTTGAGAGCCTGAGCTGGAACTGAAACTGGAGCTGAAGCCTGGGCCTTGGTTTGATCCTTGGCCTTGACCTTGACCTTTGGCCGGCAAAGCCTGAGCCCCTTGGCAATGCGTGCCCGAGCACGCTTCCCAAGCTTGGGGTGGGCAATGTAGGCAAGTCAATCGAGCTTGCGGCTGACACCCTTTGGGATCTTGGGCTTAACCTCCTTGGGCTTTACGAGGGCCTTGATGGCCTTGGCACGTGCACTCATGGCCTTGGCATTGTTGGCCTGCATCTTCTTTAGGCCCTTCTTGTTGTGCTTCTTGGCAAAGCGCATGTTCCTCAGGAACTTGGGGTCCACCCCCTTAAGAGACTAGTATCTTTGTGATCGGGGTTTCTTGATACCATTTCTGTGCCATTTTCGGGACTGGTTGTGTGTGGTGTGGTTCTTGGACTTGGCCATGTCTGCACCCAAGCCGCGGTTCCCGAAGCTCCTAGGACCGGACGAAACCTCATCATTTTTTTTTTTTTTTTTTTTTTTTAGACGGAGTTTCGCTCGTTACCCAGGCTGGAGTGCAATGGCGCGATCTCGGCTCACCGCAACCTCCGCCTCCTGGGTTCAGGCAATTCTCCTGCCTCAGCCTCCTGAGTAGCTCGGATTACAGGCACGCGCCACCATGTCCAGCTAATTTTTTGTATTTTTAGTAGAGATGGGGTTTCACCATGTTGACCAGGATGGTCTCGATCAGTTGACCTCGTGATCCACCCGCCTCGGCCTCCCAAGGTGCTGGGATTACAGGCTTGAGCCACCGCGCCCGGCCGAAACCTCATCATTTTTTAAAAAATATAAGAGGCAGGGCGGGGTGGCTCACGCCTGTAATTCCAGCACTTTGGGTGGCCGAGGCGGGTGAATCACGAGGTCAAGAGATCGAGACCATCCTGGTCAACATGGTGAAACCCTGTCTGTACTAAAAATACAAAAAAATTTGCTGGGCATGGTGGTCTGTGTCTGTAATCCCAGCTACTCAGGAGGCTGAGGCAGAAGAATTGCCTGAACCCAGGAGGCGGAGGTTGCGGTGAGCCGAGATCGCGCCATTGCACTCCAGCCTAGTAACAAGAGCGAAACTCTGTCTCAAAAAAGAAAGAAAGAAAAAGAAAAACGAAAATTTAATAAAATAAATATATTTTTAAAAATAGAAAAATTAGCCAGGAGTGTTGGCACGCCCCTGTAGTTCCAGCTACTTGGGAGGCTGAGGCAGGAGAATCGCTTGAACCGGGGAGGTGGAGGTTGTGGTGAGCTGAGATCACACCACTGCACCCCAGCCTGGATGACAGAGTGAGACTCTCTCTCAAAAAAAAAAAAAAAAAAAAAAAAAAGGTGGCCTGGCATGGTGGCTCATGCCTGTAATCCAAGCACTTTGGAGGCCAAGGCGGGCAGATCACCTGGGGTCGGGAGTTCAAGACCAGGCTGACCAACATGATGAAACCCTGTCTTAAAAAATAAATACTGGGCCGGGCGCGGTGGCTCACGCCTGTAATCCCAGCACCTTGGGAGGCTGAGGCGGGTGGATCAAGAGGTCAAGAGATCGAGACCATCCTGGTCAACATGGTGAAACCCCGTCTCTACTAAAAATACAAAAAAATTAGCTGGGCATGGTGGCTAATGCCTGTAATCCCAGCTACTCAGGAGGCTGAGGCAGGAGAATTGCCTGAATCCAGGAGGCGGAGGTTGCGGTGAGCCAAGATCACGCCATTGCACTCCAGCCTGGGTAACGAGCGAAACTCCGTCTCAAAAAAAAAAATTCTTACTGTCAAACTAAGGAGATTTGGTGGCTCACACCTGTAATCCCAGCACTTTGGGAGGCCGAGGCGGGCAGATCACAAGATCAGATGTTCTGGACCAGCCTGGCCAATATGGTGAAACACCCGTCTCTACTAAAAATACAAAAATTAGCCAGGTGTAGTGGCACATGCCTGTAGTCCCAGCTACTTGGGAGGCTGAGGTAGGAGAATCGCTCTGTTCCCAGGCTGCAGCACAGTGGCACAATCTCAACTCACTGTAATCTTCACCTCCCAGTTTCAAGCAATTCTCCTGCATCAGTTTCCCAAATAGCTGAGATTATAGGCGCACCTCGTCAGCCTCCCGAGTAGCTGGCACTACAGGCATGTGCCACCACCCCTGACTATTTTTTGTATTTTTAGTAGAGATAAGGATGGTCTTGATCTCCTGACCTTGTGATCTGCCCACCTCGGCCTCCCAAAGTGCTGGTATTACAGGCATAAACCACTGCGCCCAGCCTACAGGTATATTTTAAAGCTTGACTTCTCAACTGTATTGTAGATTCTTCCAATGGTAAGAATTTCACTACAAATTCTAGCCACAGTATTGAACCTATAGCATAACACATTAATAGTGACATGAAATTAGGTGCTGTATGTATGTGTTGAAGAGTATGTGGGGCTACACGCAGTGGCTCAAGCTTGTAATCCCAGCACTTTGGGAGACGGAGGTGGGTTAAATCCCTTGAGCCCAGGTGTTCAAGACCAGCCTGCCCAACATGGCAAGACCTCATCTCTACAAAAATTAGCTGATCACAGTGGCCCCAGCTACTGGGGAAGCCGAATTGGGAGGATGGCTTAAGCCCAGGAGGCAGAGGTTGCAGTAAACTGAGGTCCCACCACTGCACCCCAGCATGGGCAACAGAGCCATTCAGTGCCTGTAGAAGCATGGAAAACAAGAAAAAAATAGAATGTATATTATTAAGCATTTAAATAAGCCATATCTGATTATTTAAAAGACTCCTGTCCATCTACTCTAATTCCTAGAAAATAAAACACGAATTATTTTAACTGGTATTCCCAACCAAAGAGAGGAAACGTTACTCCATGGATGAGAGGTTTTGTTGTTGTTGTTTTGAGATCAGTTACATTCTTGTCACCCAGGCTGGAGTACAATGGCTCACTGCAACCTCCGCCTCAAGTAGTTCTCCTGCCTCAGTCTCCCAAGTAGCTGGGAATACAGACGGCTGACATCATGCCTGGCTACTTTTTGTATTTTTAGTAGAGACAGGGTTTCAACACGTTAGCCAGGCTGGTCTCGAACTCCTGACCTAAGGTGATCTACCCACCTCAGCCTCTCAAAGTGCTGGGATTACAGGCATGAGCCACCATGCCTGGCTGAGATTACTGATTAATGCAGAACATTAATATAATTTATTTTAGATTACCCGTGACACTGTTGAGTTTTATGTTAGCCTCACATAGTAGCCAACACATCCCAGATCATCTCTGCCCACCCTTTGATCGGTTTCTCAGGTAATACAAACTTGTTTCATATCAGCCTGAATGAAATAATAATAGGGGAGTCAATATCATTTAACTTGCTCAGAGATGAGCTATAAGTGAGTTTTGTTTTTGTTTGTTTAGCTACTGTTTTGAAAAATTCATTTTTTTTGTTGTTGTTGTTGAGATGGAGTCTCGCTCTGTTGGCCAAACTGGAGTGCAGTGGCATGATCTCGGCTCACAGCAACCTCTGCCTCCCAGATTCAAGTGATTCTCTGCCTCAGCCTTCCGAGTAGCTGGGATTACAGGCGCCTGCCACCACGCCCAGCTAATTTTTTGTAATTTTTAGTAGAGACAGGGTTTCATCATTTTGGCCAGGCTGAGGTCTTGAACTCCTGACCTCAAGTGATCCACCTGCCTCAGCCTCCCAAAGTTCTGGGATTACAGGCATGAGCCACCACACCCAGCCAAATTCATATCTTCCTACCTCATTAGCTCCATGGAAAATTGGGAGCTGTCTGCTAAAGAAATAATACCAAAAGGATATTTATTGGCTTTTTTGTTTTTTGTTTTGAGACAAAGTCTTGCTTTGTCGTCCAGGCTGGAGTGCAGTGGCAGGATCTTGTCTCACTGCAACCTTCACCTCTCAGGTTCAAGCAAGTCTCCTGCCTCAGCCTCCTGAGTAGCTGGGCTTATAGGCATCCACCACCATGCCTGGCTAATTTTTGTTGTTTTTTTTTTTTTTGAGACGGAGTTTCGCTCTTGTTACCCAATATGGAGTGCAATGGCGCAATCTCGGCTCACCGCAACCTCCGCCTCCTGGGTTCAGGCAATTCTCCTGCCTCAGCCTCCTGAGTAGCTGGAATTACAGGCACGCACCACCATGCCCAGCTAATTTTTTGTATTTTTAGTAGAGACGGGGTTTCACCATGTTGACCAGGATGGTCTTGATCTCTTGACCTTGTGATCCACCAGCCTCGGCCTCCCAAAGTGCTGGGATTACAGGCATGAGCCACTGCGCCCGGCCTAATTTTTGTATTTTTAAGAGATAGTGTTTCACCATGTTGACCAGGCTGGTCTTGAACTCCTAACCTCAGGTGATCCA